GTAGTCATGGCGTCAATGGTGCAACACCAGAGGCGAATCTCTGTGGTTGTCAATACGTCGGTGCAGCCCTAATTTACCAAAAATATGAATGTCATAATTTATATTTGAATATTTATAATATAATGCATTACATAAATATATTTGTAGATAAAACCTTCTGTAATATAATAAATATTATTGATTGCCTTAGAAATTTTCCTGAAAAGTAGTTATGTTCGCATTTCATCTTCATGAAAAATTACCTTATGTGTTAACAATTTGTCAGTCATGTCTGTCTGGGTGTCCATTAGAGGTATGAAGGAGGGAACTTTGACATTCTTGACATTTTCTGAACAGAGTGCTACTTTGAAAAAAAAAAGAATTGCTATTCCATCTTATTGCAAGTTCTAGGATGGAACATAGTAAATAAAAGGCCTGATGCAAATCCGATGTAATATTTAAAAAATCCACACTGAGGAGCCTGGCTTCAGCATGAAGAAATCATTGGAGAAATGGCAAAAGCATGAGGTACACCACTGGTGCACCTCAAGCTTTCCCCATCAGACCTGATCCCAAATAAAACTTAAAAGTGGAGGGATAAATGCCTGAGGGTGGATTTTTGAACAGAGAACAATCTGATAATGCAGCTTTATTCTCAGCTTTATTCTGGGGAAAACACATATTTCCTGGAAATATGTGTTTAGCAGCAAAATCAGATAGTTCACTGTTCAAAATCTACCCTGAATGTGCAAATATAAATGTATATATAGATACAGATAGCGGTATCGGTTCTTTTCCAATATCGGAATTATCGGTATATCGGATATCGGCCAAAATTCAATATCGTTGCATCTCTATTTTGGACAAAACTTGGTAACCTCACAAAACTACAAGTGCAAATGCAAAAACATGCTTTTTTTTTTCTCTCCAATGGTGCAAACCTCAGTGTCTAATTTAAAGTATGTCCAAGAGATTTCTCCAATAGGACACTAGATGTGAAATGACCCAACAATCCTTACCCATATGATTTTTTGTGGCAAGGATGGCATCTTTACTGGGTGCAATGAGATCCCAAATGAAGCTCTTGATCTTTTCATCTCCCCTGTACACACCAAGGCAGTACAGAAGCTAAGGAGAACAAGAATTCATTCACAAGTCAGTATTGGAGAAGAGATAAACCACTAACAGTGACAACTTGTGGCATAAGTGGCAGCTTCTTACATGAGACAAACAGATCATACTCTTTTTTTCTTGCATTCCCATAGTCTTTATTTTCATAAGTTGTGTAATATCATTACAAACAATGTTGACTTATGATCAATGTGAACTAGGGTGGCATGAATGACAATCCATAGACACTCAGCAATGGGAGAAGAAAAGAGGAAATTTCCAATGATAAACCCCCTTTAACACTTTTCCCTTAAAATTTGGTTTGACAATACAGAAACCAATTTTATTCTTCAACTTAGCATAGAGAAGAAATGCCTGAATGGGGCACCTTAAAAAAAAAAACTGATTAAAATTGGAACCATATATATGTCGACTACACACTCTCAAGAAAAAAGTGATTCTACAAGGATGTTGCTCTCAAGTTATAGTTTAGTCACTGGGAATATGGGCAGTAAAAGGAAAAGAAAAGAGTCATTTAAGGTCTCCCCGGTCTTTGTCGGCAGATTGATTCCTACTATCAAAGACATGACATTCTGACATGGATGCCACAAGAGCCTTCCCTTCAAATGTGAGTACAGTGGTACCTTGCGTAACGAACGCAATTCGTTCCAACAGTGCGTTCGTTATGCGAGGTGTTCGCAAGTGAAAGTGAAACATTTTTTCCTAATTTCCTTGATTTTTCGCGGCCTGCACCTTGCCTAATGTACTAAAGGGTATTGCTTGTGGAGCGTATTGCTTGCGTGGCGACCTTGGAATTGCGTTCGTTATGCGAGGTACCACTGTATATATATTTTCTTGCAGTCTTCACAATCTCCTCATGCAAGCAACTTCATTTGGCGTCCCTCTGTTATTACTGAGGGGCCAACCACTCCTGCTCAAATTTAGCATTCCTGCTGTTCTTGCGAATAAAAACTGCCTGAGGCAACCCTGTTTTTCCAAGCTGGAAATTGGGGGGGGGGGGACCGTTCAACTAGCTGACATTTTATGACCTCTAATGGGATGACCTGTCAAACTCGCCATATTCCCAGTGACTTGACTATACCTGCATTAGGCCTTTAATCTATATGCATGATATTCCAACAGCAAATGCTAATATTTGTGGGAAAATAGACAATTTTTGCTATAACTAGAGTGATTTATACTAAAGTGCTGTGATGGCTAGACTATTTCAAAATGCAAGAAACTTTAAGATACTATTATTCTAACAGAAGTTTAAGATACTTTCACACATTACCCAGGTTTCCTACCAAACAATCCTTTGTAAATGATAAAAATTTATTGAAAATAAGTCACAAAGGCTGCAGTCAGGGTTCACAACTCAGCACAAGTTTTGCTGTGTCAGAATTACGTCCCTTGAATCAGTGTCATCATCCAACAGTCTTTGCAGCCAAGGAGTGTGTGTATAAGGAAAATGGAAGGGGCTTACAATCATCCGAGCACATTCTTCAATGTCAGCATCTTTCCAGCCTTTCCGCAGTCCACTATGCTGAATACATTCTTTCCATCGTCCCCAACTATCAAGTAACAATTCGTTATGAAGACATTTAGCACTTACAATGTACAAAGGCATCAAAACATGCTGCTTACAAATTCAATAAAAGTTTCAGCTTAAGTAACCTATATATTTAATTCTATAGCTCATGTTACAAACAATTGCATAAGAACAAAATTTTACTCTCTAATAGGCAATTGAGCATCACAATAGTTACTCTATCCATTACTGGCATAAGCTGGATGTCATTTTAAGAGGAAGCATGACAAGATAAAAAGTCAAATAAACCCCCAATACAGTGGCTTTATTCCCTGAGCTGGTCAACCCTGTGACAGCAATGGTCATGCATGCCACCAAATGAGTTAAGAAATGTTTTTTGAAGGAAAAACCAAAAACCAGTTGAATGCAATCAATGCAAACAGAGAACAAAAAAAGCTGACATGAGAAAAAACTTTTAAAAAATTGGTCATCATGCCCATTATAGCTGAGAGAGTATGTTATGTTCCATTTCTTAGTTTTCTTTTGTGCAGCCAGCAACAGATCATTAAGTACAGATTACAGGAAGTTTTACACAAGCTCTACCAGAAGTTTTGAGGGCAATATTCTTTGCCCAAAAAATTGGAAAAAGTAATTTAAAAAATATTATGCCTTCTCTTGTGGAGTCACCATTTTATTTCCAACAAGCTGAAAAAATAATTTTAAATTATATTTTACATTTTGAAATGCAAGTAATAAAATCTGAAATATCAAGCTTTCATTTGCTTCAAATTACATATATGTACATTTAATTGTTCATGATATATTAAAGATTAAAGTTGTCTGTATCTTTTATGGTCACCCTGTATATTATTCTATCAAAACCACTCCAACTGGAGTTTGTTGAGTATCTTTCTGTGAATTGGTTTGCACACTAGTAGTCAAACCACCTCATACTGAGCAAAGAAATGTTGTACCCATATTCTTCAACAAAAGCACATGTATGAAGGACATGATGTACATTCAATTAGGTACAGATTGGACAACATACCCCCAAGTGAGAAGAGCTTTCTCCACTTTGAACAACTCAGACTTGCTCCATTCCCCATAACGTACATCAGCATCTTCAGAGTTGAAGTCAGCATCATAGCTACTTCTTCCTCTACGCCGGCCAAGGCGAGATCGGCCACGACGAGCTACACAAAGGTTTGAACCAGGTTTACATCAATAAGGTACAGAATTCCAAAAACAATGGTACCAAGCATGACAATCATACTGTGAGGTGCACCACGCTCATCATCAGTGTCAGAAGAACTCTCTAAGTCAGATATATCCACCATGGTCTCATCATTGCCAAACCTTCTTGTCTGGGTTCGCTTGCGAGGCATGTCAACTATTAGCTCCTTCTGCAATGTATAAGGGCAAAACCTCAACATGCCACATACACATGGTTTTCATGCAAGTTTCTTTAAATATATGATAAAGAATAACCAACACATTCAAGAATTCAACACATTCATTCCCTTGAATAAAAAAAAAAGTTGAATGAAGCACCATTGCATACATGAGTTGCTGCAGAAAAACTACCCATCCAGCCTGTCACCACTGCATGGAAACTTGCAATTAGCAGGTTATTATGAACAAATCCCCCCCATGCTAATAACAGGTAATGTGGCTAACCCTTTGACGAGTATGCCCGTAAATATACAGGCTGACATCCTCCTGCCTTCCACGTATTCACTACGGGTGATCTTCTAGGTGTTAAAAATAATCCACTCCTCAAAGGGTTAATTTGATAGAGCACCACCCTTGAATGACACCAAAATCAGTGACAACCAACAGTGGTATTATTTCAAAGGTTGACTGTCCTTACACAAAGATACATTCATAGATGAACTTGAAATGGGATGACAGAAGAAGGGTTAGATCCAAGCCAAAGATTCCACTTCACCTTCAAAATATAAGATAGAATTTCTGCTGAACAATTACCCTGAATGTTCATTTGAGCAGTCCAGAATGTCAGTAGGAAGTAGGACTACAGTCCACTGCACATAAGGCATTTACACATTTATTTACATATTTATAAATAATCTCATAATTCAGTTTTGGACACAGAAAAAATCATTCTCATCTGACAAAATATTGTTCACCTGTGATTGGCTACTCTGCAGAAGCATTATCAGTCATTCTGTTGGGTGGCTGTAATATAAGTGGGGTCTCATCACCAAGGCTTAGTAAGTCATGGGATGGTCAAGCAGTGAAAATTGCCAGTTGGCAAAATGCAAGGGTTAAAGGGTGGTTCATGGGGGTATTGCAGAAGAGATGCATTAACCTCCTAGGAGTTCTCATTGAACTTACCTTCCCAGCATCAAGATCAACATCAGCTTTCTTAGCCCATTTTTGCCAGAAATCAGGATCATCAATGTCAATGTCAGAACGGCTGGTGGTGTGGGCAAAGCTAGCCTTTGAGAAAGTTGATCCCTCTTCAGTTGCCACTGTGATCACCTAAAGACAAAGAGAAAATATTCATGTCAAAAGATATGATTCTGAGTTAAAAATTTGAGACCAGATGCCAGTATGAGACCTGAGTTCTTCTCTCCAATATTTGGTCAATATCTTCTTCACAGAACTTATCTCCAGCATTGTCATCTTCCATGAGAGCTCCATAGGCACCTTTTCTTAAGAGCTCCTCAACATCTTTCTTGTTCAATTGTGCTCCTCCACCCTGTTCGACACAGCAATGGATTTTAGAGATGGAACCATAAAGATGCACCACCAAGAATATGATATGATGGCTCACTAGATTTCCTTCTTTATCTGCTTGTGTGGTGTTCATACTTTGAAGGACAGCCTTGTCAAGCCCAAGCTTGAGGGAAGCTCTATCAAACATCTCCCTCTCATAGGTATTACGGCAAATCAGACGATACACTTTCACCATTTTGCTTTGGCCAATACGATGACAACGAGCTTGAGCTTGGATATCATTCTGAGGATTCCAGTCAGAGTCATATATAATGACAGTGTCGGCAGCAGTCAGATTAATCCCCAAACCGCCAGCTTTAGTACAAAGTAAAAAGGCAAAGCGATCAGAATCTGGCTTGCAGAAGCGGTCTATGGCAGCCTGTCTCATGTTTCCTCGGATACGTCCATCAATTCTCTCAAATGGATACCTAAAAAAGAAAATAACACTTGCAAGAATAGCAAATTCTCAATCCATTCAATGATAACAAATTTAACAAGAAAGGATATTACTTTTTCCAGATGAGGTAATCCTCCAAGATATCAAGGCATCGAACCATCTGAGAGAAGATGAGTACACGATGTCCATTTGCCTTTAGCTTGGCAAGGAGCTTATCAATCAGCACCAACTTCCCAGAAGACTGAAGCATGGCATGATAATAGACTTCAGAGTCCTCACCATGATCTCTCCTCCAATCCTCTTGAATTTGCTCCTCAGCACCTGCATTGCCAGCACCAGTAAACCTCAAATGTTATCTCTGCCAAGCAAATATATAAATGAGGTGCAGTCAGTAAGTTTATACTGCTAGCCTCTAGTAGCCATGGGTGTAACATTTTCAAGGCTAATTGGTGGTTTTCATTGTCTTTCAACATTTATCCTCCCCCCCTCAGTCTTTTTGTTGCTGTGACAAAGTGATGTGCTGTGCAATGATAACATGATTTTGGTGATTTTTTTGTATCTTTTTCTAGACTGGATTAAAACATGAATTTCACAATCAAGGAACAAAGAGCTGTGTCAAAATTTATTGCAGTATATGATGAAAAACCTGTTAAAATCCATTGCCAGCTGAGGGATGCATGTAGGGATAATTGCCTCACTGATAGCACCATCCACAAGTGGGTGCGAAAAATTACAGTGGGAAGAGTTTCCTCCAAAGAAGTGCCTCATTAATGAAACCCATAACTGAGAGTTCTGACCAAACCATCAAACAAGTGGAAGATATGTTTAAGCCAGATTAATGCCTGTCCATCAATGGTAATGCGCAGGCAGACTAGGACTCTCCCGTGGAACCATTGCAAAAAATTTTTGATGAGCTGAAAATTGCAAAGTGAGCGACCACTACCCAGTGCCCTGCATACTTTCTACAAGCACAAAGCCAAGTCATCTGGACACTTCTGCCATGGGGACACAAATTGTGGCATCCCCAACAAATTTCATGGACCATCTGATCACAATGGATGAGACATACACTCTTTTCAATCCCCAGACCAAAAGAGAATCCATACAATGGAAGCCACAATTCCCACTACCCAAAAAGTTTTGACAAGTTGTTTCAAATAAAAAGATTCTGTGCCCCATTTTTTTTTTACCAAAGGCAGCTTGATTTTGGCTCATGCTGTTCCAAATGGCCAAACCATCAATGGTGAGTAATACCAACACCTGCTAGAAACTGAATGTTTGCCAGCAATCATGCACCAGGATTATGCATCACACACTGATCTTACTGACAGCCTATTTACCAGATCTCACTCCAAGTGTCTTCTGGCTTTTTGGCATGCTCAAGGATTCATTGTGACAAAAGAAATATCCTTTGGGACAAGCCCTGGGCTCTGGCACCTACCAGTGCAGTTGTTCAAACATACACCCAAAGATGACTCTGCTAAGTGCTACAGAGAGTGCTTTGAAGACTTTACAACAGTGGCAACTATGTGTAGAGGAGACTATGTTTAGAAGGGAGAAGTGGCTTTGCAAAATTAGGTATTCTTTAGGAGTTACAGTATAATGGCATGGACTTTCGACAGCACCTTGTATTCAGAACAGCTTACTCCAGAATAAGAAACAATAAAGTCAGGCATGATAGTTTCATAATGAGGGATGGTTAAGACTCAGTCTCAGAACTCACCATTTATCAGATATGGGTGAATACAACACTTCCGCAACTCCATCATAGTGTTCATCAAATTTGGCACATTGGCATTGGAAGTTCCTTTGGCCAAGAATGAGAAGTTCCTTTCCAAAATAGCACGGTAGTACTTTTTCTGAATGTTAGTCAGCTCAACCTGACATGGAGAGAAAAGAGGACTTGTGTAAAGCATCATAACAGCTAAATGCTCAATTCATCCCAATTCTTCATCAGCAGCATACAAGCTGGTATTCTCAGGTCTCCGAGGTGCATCCATTGGGAATATACCCTCATCTACTTGGATAATGGATCATCATAGAAATGTCTTCAGTTTGCATTAGAGTGACTGATTTGCCTCTAGTAAGTTTTCACTTATTCATCAAGTTCTCTAATTTAAGTGAGTAGTTGTTCATTATAGATTTGCTTAAAAAGTATATGGTTAGAATATTGTTTCATACCTCAATTATGGTCTCTTCTTTGGGAGCTATAGTCTTCTCAACATCACCCTTGAGACGGCGAAGCATCATGGGCTTCAAAATGGTCTGCAGTTTCTGAACTTGTTCTTCAGATACCAGATCTCCAAATTCAGCGTAGAAGCCCTCCTGAGAGGCAAACTGATTGGGCTCCAGGAAATTGAGTAGAGAATACAGCTCACTGATGTTATTCTGCAATGGTGTTCCAGACAGCAACACCCTATGCTCCTGGAAATGGTGAAGGATCAGTGAAATACCCAGAATAGAATACAATCAGCAAAAATAAATCACTGACATTCAGAAAATAATATCATTTTGAGCTTCCTAAAAGAAACAAAACCTTCTTTAACACGTTGGCGACAATGCGTCCTGATGCCAGGATGCAGATTTTTTTTCAATGAATACCCTCTGGAACTGTTGAGAACGTTCNTGAGCTTCCTAAAAGAAACAAAACCTTCTTTAACACGTTGGCGACAATGCGTCCTGATGCCAGGATGCAGATTTTTTTTCAATGAATACCCTCTGGAACTGTTGAGAACGTTCCAGAAGATTATGATTTCGTAATTACTGATAAAAATTTCAAAAAATTCAACATTAAAAAAAAACTCTGCAAAAAAAATGTTTTCTGGGACCATGCGTCCTGATGGCAGGACACATTTTTTGACAAAAAAAATGCGCGTGGTCCCACGCGGCGGACAAGCAAAAATAGGCTGGTCATCAACGTGTTAAGTCACCATCAGACTTTTCTAAACCCAATGACACATGGCACATTGACTCCTTCAGTGTGTGGTAATTTATATGAAATCATATCTACAGTGATCAAGTATTTATCTGTAACAAGCCAATTTCCAATTAATTACAGTCTGCTCCTCAAGTGTGATGGGATGTTATTTTATGCAATGGCCTTAGCCTACCCAGGACATTGTCATCTGCCAATTAAAAAAGTTCTTGTTTAATGCAGAAGGTAATAGCACAAAATGTGAGACCATCCAAGAACTCAATCTAGTTTGAAAAAGAGATTATTAAAAATGTTGCAATCTGTCTTATCTCAAAATATCCCAATGTGGAAGTTATAAATTAATCTACGACCCCATCTGAAGATTCTCTTCAAATAAATTGTTTTATGAGATGTGTTGCAGAAAGAAAGGTCAGTAAATGTTGGCAACATGGTGGGGCAATGATGCGATGTTACACTTCCAGCTTGAGCTATTTTGGACTGAATTTCAATGCAGCACAAGTGTCCTCTTGCATAAAAAAATTTTTAGCTGCATGTGGTCCGCTGTGATGACCACACTAATTTCTAAGCATGCTACAAGGTGGCTGCTGGGAAAAGAAAGGTTCACCTGCCCTCTTCCACTAGAATCCTAGAAACACTGCAGTTTGTTATTAACTACCATAAATCTTTAGGCTATTTGTACTTTACAATTTTTAAAATGTGAGGTGGCCATCATACTGGCACATATCACCTGGATCATTTTTTTGCTTACATGTTTGTGTCAGGACTTAGACAGCGACCTTGTAATTTTTTTTTACAACTGCATTGGGTGAGAAAATTCAAAAAGGATTTCAGAGGATCAGGGAGAGGCCAATAAAAATCACAAGTTCTTATCAGTTTGACACAACTTCAGCATAATCCACTGAAGACTTTCTTGTATTAATTCCCTACCAATGACCTTGAAAACATAAGCAGTAGGATGACCCTTCTCTACATTTCCAAGCAAATTCATGAATTTGTTTATAAAAATTGCACAGTGAAAATTTCCTAAACTACTATAAAAATGCCTATGATTGAGACATGGCAAAAGAGTTGGTCTTACAAGATCAAGCAAGCGAAGACCCTCTAAAAGTTTGCAGTTCTTGTTTTTCAGTCGATGTGCCTCATCAATGACACAGCATCTCCAAGAGATTTCCCTTAGCTCAAGACAGTCAGAAATAATAACTTCAAAGGTCGTGATGAGGGCCTCAAATTTGTATATGTCTGGGATCCTCCCTCCAGTTCCATCCTTGTAGTACATTTCATACTCCTGAATCATGTTCCTACTGGCAGCACTGTTTAAAAAAAAAAGGAAAGAAGAAACATACACATACTGTACTTAAAGATGAAAATGCTAACTTCACAATTAAAGGGGTCAACGGTGATTGCCAACCTTCCATGATATACGACAACGTTGATGTTTGTCCAGGTCTCAAACTCTCGCTGCCAGTTAGGGATAGTTGACAAAGGAGCCACAACAAGGTAAGGGCCTTTAATACCATAGTCATGAACAGCTTGTAGGAAGGATATGCTCTGAATGGTTTTCCCAAGTCCCATTTCATCAGCCAGGATACAGTTCCTCCTAAAGCCCAGAACATGAATTGTCACATTCCACATGAATATTTGATATATAATTGCTTGAGGAATGCTGAGATAATTTCAAATGACTCTTCAATTCAATTTCAAACATCTGAGAAATAGACTCACCCATTACACCAGGAGAACGTGAGCCAGTTGAGTCCTTCTAGCTGATAGTCACGGAGTGTATTTCCATTCTTGTACTCTGGACTAGCATCCAATTTCTTCCAATCACTGGGCCGTGGTCCCTTTTTCACCTCCAGAAATGAATTGACATCAAAGTCAACAACTAAGCCAACTGTAAATGGGTGAAACTAGCATGACCATTTCAAAAAATAAATGAGCTCTAGACTTACCTTTCTTTGATCTTTTGGGGGTGCATTGCGAAACTCCAAGTACAGTCTGATTTTGTTAGGATCCACATCCTCTTCCAGCTCCCAAGTAGAATCTTCATAAGCCAAAGCCCTCCATTTGACAAGGTAATGCTTCACCACATCCCCTGCCGCAGGGTCTTTGTACTCAGACATGTCCAACACTCGATCCACTTCAACATAGTCTGGATTAAAGGGTTCCTCATCCAACTGCAAGGAACATGATTAAATACAGTCACTTCACCTCACAAAAGACATACCTCCGACATTATATAACTTAGTACATATTTTTAAAAAAAGCCTCACAAAGTCCAGAATATTTTGTGAACTTGACATGCGTTGCTTGAAGCGCTTAATTTTGGAAGTGACCCTTTTGTCTCCCTTGAACAGCTCCTCTTCTGTCTTCCATTCACAATGAATGTAGGAAAAGTTCTTATATTTCACCAAGTACTCTTCAATTTCAACTGTTCGGGGTTCTTTCTTCCCTTTCCCCTGTTCTCCTCCTTCGTTCCCTCCCACACTCTCATTTCCTTCCTCTCCTCCAGTCTCTTTATCTTTCTCCTCTTCATTCTCTTGTGTCTTGTCAGTCCCTGGTTCTTCCTCATCTTCACTCTCAACTACTTCTCTCTTCCCTTTTCGGCAGGCAAGGATGTGCTGTATGATCATGGAATCTTCTTCACTTGGATTCTGGAAAATGCCAAAAATAAGTTCTCTTACAATATAATCATATAATTTCCATAAAAGAAGGAAGGCAGTGTTTTTTTTTTTACATTTTATACTGGACATTCCACATGACCACTACTAGATGGAACAACAGAAAATATCAATGAAGTAAAATATCCATTGTCCTATAAAAAGCTAGGCTCCCTGCACCTATTCTCACCTTCCCTGCATCTCTGTTCAAGGCACCTATAGGTAAATCTATTTGAATAAAAGAATGACAGCCTGAAAAAATTCCAAGGTGGGCAGAAAAAACATTTAGAGATCTGTAACACAGCATTAGCAAATACTGCGATGGCATCTCTCCAGAGATCATTTATTCAGTTTTCATTGGTGTCAACAGGTTTGAGATTCATGCCATAGCTTTCAAGGATGAAAACTATGATATGGATCATGGACATTAATTAAGTTTATAATATGCCTGAAGGAGGGGAAATTTGACACCATGATAATTGTTGCAAGTAATATGCCTCAAGTGACAAATAAGGAAATACTTTTTGCAATTAAATGAGCTTTCATGTTCAAAGGAAAAAAACAACGACTAAGTCAGTTTGATATGAAAGACCTGCAGCAAGGCTTCCAGTCCAAGGTGCGTTTGGAAAAAAAAAAAAAAAAAAACCACAAGATCAGACCATCTCAGATTTCCTTATGATAATTGAGAGGCATGCTAAAGTTAAGAACTTGAGTCTCCCAATGCTCCCTGGATTCTAGTCCATTGGGACACACTTGAAAATTAAATAATGTTTCAAAAGCCTCAAACCTTGGAAACTTGCCAACTGCACCAAAATACTCTGCATTTCCTGCTGACAAATTTTACAAGAACAGCAGCTGTTCCCTTACAGGGTCTCTATGCATCAGAAACTGATCAAAGGCAATCAGCAAAGAGTTCTCTTTTCAAAATCATCATATAAGAAAGTTCCAGGCTATTGTTGTTTTTTAATAATCTCATGTGGTCAGGTGAATGCCACTTGCAACTTTCTTCTCTGTGCATGCCTGTTGATGCTGTCTTTTTTAAGGCATTAAAAGACATTTACAAAGAATTAAAGCAGGAATTCCTATGCTTAGGTATGAAGTCCAGACCTGGAAACTGGCATAAGAAAGCATATTCATGAAGATGGAATCCAAGGCATGGATGCCACCAGACCACATCTTAGAGTGTACTGCATAGAAAACTTTCAAGGTGCTAACTCAATACAGTTTTAGTAATAGCATGAAAAATATGGCATGGATATTGAACCTGCTGACATTAATGGAAGCTTACTGATTCTGCAAATAAAGATATACTATTACAATTTTAGGTAACTCTTGAGAAACTGCAATAAAAAGATATACCTAGTATTTTTGTAGATAAAAACAAAAAAAAATTATCACCAGTCAACAACATGACTGGCTATTTCTTTCAATACAGTTTCTCAAATGAGTGCACATAGCTTACTATGTAGGCAAAACTGGGCTTGTGGAGCACAGGTTGTTCAGTTTTCTTGCTGTCCCCTTGAGAAGCATCAAGACTCTGGCTTTGGGATTCAGGCTGCTGATCCAATGATCCATCGACACCTTTGCCATCTCCAAGTGTTCTATCCATTCCAAGTGTGGTTTCATCCTCTGAGATGTTCAAGTCTATGTCATCAACATACTTCTTCCTCTTGGTATTCCTTGCAGAACGTCGCTTCTGTAAATAAATAAAAAATAAGGGCACATTTGCAGATTTAACATGATCAGCATGAATAGCAAATCAGGTCTGGAGATTAAATATAGCTCACCAAATGAGCAGAATCATCATCATTTTCAGCCACAGCAGGAGAAGGTGGTGGAGTGGCATCAAGGTCACTTCCCTCAGAGTCTGATCTCTTCCTTTTACGTTTCTTTCCAAAGTTTAGCAGAGTCCTGCAAAATAAAACATTTTTGGCATATTAGCATTTCCATAAGCTTTCACTTCTACCTTTGATTAATTATTGCTCAAAAAATGGCAAAAGCAAAATAAGAGTACAAAGTGAGGTGTGTACCTAGGCTGCAAAAAAAAAAAAACCTGAAAATGTCTAAAATGGTGATTCGTAGGTTCAAGCAGCTCAATCTTTGTTCCACCTAAACAGGCAGCTTCTGCCAGTGAGCTGCATGAATTTAATATCAATGGAACTAGAATCTCCAGTGGCTTTCACATTAGAGATATTTGCACCAGAGGCAAAGGGTTCAGGCTTCATTGTCAATAAATGAATATCAAATATGAGGAAGTGGTCCCATCAGGCTTGAATTAATGAATAGTAGAGTATAGTATAGTTACCTAAGTACTGCCAAGCTCTAAAGTAAGCGTATATTCTAACTTTCTAAGTTTCCCATTATCTGGGACTATTTTGTCACAACCATATAGTGAAGATACATAAACTCAAGGAATTGGCAAATAAAATGCAATGGTGGGGAATCAGCCTTGAATAGCTGCTTCTGTGGAATATCTGCATGTAATATTATGCAAAGGTGCAGGTACTAACAGCTTCAATTGTTAAATTTACATCTAGTGGGATAAACCTTTTGAAATGAAGCAAAATGGGCAGCCATGTCACTCAAATTTGATTTTTGATTCTAGCTGAATTACAGCCTCAACCACATTTCAATGAACAAACTTGCAATCATGTTTCCAGGTGCAAACTCAACCAAGATATCCCTTTCATGCATGGTGTCCACTATAGCGAATGGCAAAATTCTTAGCAATGATGATGGTTTTTTAGCCATGATACATATACCTCAAAACTTTTGGTGCATGAAGTCAACTCAATCTATTACACATAATCTCTTCAGTGTTGTTTTTGTGAAACATGGGACTGCAGCAGAGTATCTCCTTAAATGTTAAACCAAAAAAGACATATTCTTCTTTCGCTCAAAAAACTCATCATGAAAGGGATATTCATACAATTAAATTAAAAACTGGTATAACCATGTTACATTTAATGGTTGAAATCCAAACTACTACATTGGAGAGCTAACGAGATGCTAGCATATGTAGGTAAAATGATCCTGTTCATTTCAGTTTTGACTTTCCAATCCTTTTTCTACTCTTTGCCAGATTTTAAAGTAAAATTTCCCTACCAATCAGTATAAGAAAATTAATTTATCCTTCCTCACATTGCAGTAGTGTCTCACACTTGTCATGTCTCTCACAAACTGTATTGTAATTTCATGACAAAAAATATTTCTCATTCCAAAAAAATTTGCCCCCATCCTTATTAACATACTAGCTGTGGTCATGCTTTCAGCACTCTATTATCTAGTATAGTCATTAAATCATTCATTCATTTTCTAAGTTGCAAAAGCTTACCAAGATTTAAATTGAAATCATTACTCTGATGAGTTCTTGTGTGCCTAACATCAATCATCTTCATGTGCCCCTTTTTGTCTGAGCAGAATACAAATCATGAAATACTTCTCTTCCATAATCTGCCCATACTTCAAAAGAAGGATTTTCCTATGTTTATACATCAGTTACTTCTGCACTAAGTTTCAACTTTCTATTGCTATCCATTTCAAGGGATCAAAAAAGATTCACTAAAATGCACCTCTTGCAACAAAAAAAAGGTGCCCTGAGGGGCTTTACCTAAAAATAATTTGGTGATTGTGGGTTTTGATGGAGGTTTTTTGCCTGAAAACCTCTGAAATTAACATTGGGTAGCTTTTGGTGATTTGGTTTCCAAAAAGCGTTCAACAATGTAAATTCGCTGTTCATCTGTAAACTGCACAGCCATGGTAGATTATCTCTAAGAAAATGAAAATTTAGGAGTTCTGTCATTTAGTTTGTTTGAAGTGAATATTCATAATATTAAAGGATTCACGGCCAACTGAAATGGTAAACGTTTTTGTGGAACACCCTGTATTTCTTTGAAAACATCTCCCCCCAAGGCACATGTATGCACAAAATTAAATCTTTGTGTTACCACGCACAAACTATATATTTTGCTCATGACATTTGTGTGATAAGAAATCACGGGCAACTTTGGTTTAAGGCCAAACTCTGCTGACTTGCCTGAAAGGCAGGTATTTGGCACCACCCGTCAGTGCTCATACAAAGGGTCGTAGAGGAAAAAAAATGCAATTTCGGCCAAGATGGCAGCTGCAGCTTTCTATCGAAATGTTCACGAAAGAATCGTCGCAGAAATCCCGGGAACCTCTGTGTTCCATGACACCCGACTTATTCAATGTCGAGGTCACATTCCTTGGCTATATGCCATTGCCATGGTACAAATACGCTGACCAACTCTCACGGCGCGAGTGACTGAGGGGAGAGACGGCATTGCCAATAGGTCTACATGCTACGTCCATAGCCTCAGCTATTTCCCTTAAACCCAAGAGCTAGAAAAAATGTGAGCTGAATACAAGGATGGAGAAGAAAAGCAGCCATGTTAGCGCAGAACGGGAGGGAGGTGTGCAGGAGAAACGCAGAGAGAGAGAGAGAGAGAGAGAGAGGGGGGGGGGGGAGAGGGAGAAGGAGAAGGGGGGGGAGAGAGAGAGAAAGAGGGGGGGGGGAAGGATACTGTGAATCGGGGACCGTTCCATAGTGCGTCCTATCACGAGGAGCATGTGAAGGAAAGAGGGAAACGCACGCTCCGGGACCATTCCATAAGGTGTCCTCCCGCGTTGCCGCTACCCTCGTGTGCGAATCAATACCTGCGCCGAGTCTCGCATGAAGCATGAACGAGGCGCCCGGCAAACCAACTCAAGCTCCACAGCCGGCCTTTTCTCCGCTTGTTTCTGCTTGAAGCTCACCCCTCAACCCTCTACACCTCTATCCAGACTCCATCCCTCCCTGATTCGGCCATAACAGTGTCAGACTAACGACCCTCCCGTTCTGACGTTTTCGACGTTCCTCTTCCATGTACGAGCTAAAGATGTCCTCAAGCTACTATTTTTAACTCCTTTTTTAAATCCAGTAATAGAAAGCGACCAACTGAAACAAAAGGAATAAAGGGAATGACTACTGCGTAACCTAGGGACCTTGGGGGGGGGGGGGGGGGGCAATTTTTGTGCATAAAAAGCCCGCAGGAAAAACAATTGTGGGGGGGGGGGGGGGGGGGGGGGGGGTGTCAATTTTTGTGCATAAAAAGCTCTCAGGAAAAACCATTACGTTCGACATCATAACGTCCATCGTCGCAAAACCAAACATTGGTAAGCTCTCCCTCAAACAGTTCGCAACTTGGGCGAGCCATTTCTGAGCAAATGCATTGTTTCAAAAAGATTTATTTTATTCGGAGGTAATGTCCAAACTTAGATGGTTTTACCCTACACTACCACTTCCACTTTTTTATGTAAAAAAAAAAAATTGTAATGGATGGGAAGAGGAGTTCCCTTTCGCTTATCCTCACTTTTCGTCTAGAACGAAATGACATTGGTGAACGCCCAAATACAAAAAAAGGCGTTACCATTACTTTTCACTGGCTGTTCATCGGCTGGATGAGCATATCGATAAAAGCACAATCCAAGGAGAGCGTCGGAGGATATTTGTCATAGGATAAGAGTTGTAATCCAAGTGAAAAAGGGTTATACCAACTTGAAAATACCCTGATGGTGGTGTCTTTTATTAGGAAAGGAATTTCATGGTCAAGTTTAGAATTGCACCTATGCAGACTATCCGTCTGAAATTCATTTTTACTCATTAATGATGACGAAATGTGCCGCCTTAGTATTGGCATAGCAAGGTATTGACTACTTCTAGTGTATGTCATTAAAACTGTAGTTAGTCAAATAACTCCGGCTCTGTCAACGTCTAAATACTGGTTGATCAAAGTAGTTCTCGGGGTGCCTAGCACGTTTCGAGACTGATAACTCCTTGTGAGTACACTGGAGTTATATCATGCCTGCATTGTTTCTTGCGGCCGTTATTTACTGTGAACATCAGACACCCAGTGTCCATCAAACGGAATATGAAAAAAATGCTCCATGTTGAGGATGATTACAAAATAACTGGAAAAGCAAGAACTGGAATAGATATTACATTCTGTGCCTATATTTAATAAGTCCAATGAAAGTATCAATGACACTAAGTTTCCTGAATCGCCAATCATTATTTTGTCATTTCCATTTTTTCTACATGTCCAACAGTTAATTCTCCATCTAAGCACTCATCTTCTCAGACAAGCACGATATTCCCTTTCAGGCAAGTTAAAATAACTACCCTACAACTACCATACTCAGATTACCCACTATGAGAATGCAAACCATCCTCACTTGGTAGGTTTTTTCTTCTTGGAGGAAACTTCTTTCACCCTAGGTTTCCTCTTCTCTTTGGGTTTGGCATCCACATCACCATTGACTGTAGCAGAAGGTTCAGTCCCCATGGATGTTTCTTCAGCTGGTGTATCACCAACAACTTCATCATCATCTCCCTTCTTTTTCTTCCCCCTGGAAAGAACAATATTCATCTCATCCTCTCTAGTGTAATAAAAGAGACTTTGGCCTCTCTTGCAAGAAAACATCTAAAGAACCCAATGCAATAAATTCACTAAGTTTATTAAACTTGATGAGTTCAGTTCAAATTCAGACAAGAGCAATTGCAGTGCCAACCTTACTTTCATTGTTACCTAAACAGATTGACATTCAAAATTGAAACATGTGCCAGTATGATTTCATGCTTTTACCAGTCTTGCCTCTTGGATTAAGCAACTCCATAACTCCATGGCAGAGTTCCTCAAGCGAAAAAAAAGAGAAACTCACTTTTTTGCTGGAGTTTTTCCCTCTTTTGGAGGTTTGGCTTCCTTTGGTTTCTTAGGCTCCCTGTAAATTGCATCCATGGCATTATAGGCAGATATCCATTTCAATTAGAACCGAAGAATAACAGACATGACAACCTACTTGGGTTTCTTTGGTGATTTCTCCTTGGGAGGTGCTCTTGGCTTTTTCTCCTTTGGACTACTTTTTTGTTTTTTTCTTTTCTTGGTCTCTTCTTCATGTTCCTCCTCAACTGTGGCACCAACAACCTCTTCCTGACCAGTTACCTATATGGGTTAAGAAAAAAAAAAAGTTTGAGGCATAACAGAGGCTCACTCAATTCCTACCTGGATTTTATGGATACCCATTATTAAGCAGCCTGGAGATTCAAGCCATATTGGTTCAGTTAAACGCCTGCAACCTCAGAAAGAAGAAAACAACCCATTCCCAGATGTGAGAAAAAAGGACTTACCACCTGTGGTGGAGGAATACTGGGAGGTTGCTGACATGACTGAATGTAGGCATTTGAGGATACAGGAACTCCTGGTAGTGGCATGTCAGATGCTGGACCAGGCAGAGGACACATGGGTCCAGAAGAGCTCATCTGAAGTCTCTTGATTTTTTCCTGCATCTCTTGGATCTGAAATTATATTCCTATCATCAGTTTTGAGAAGCATAACACATGCCCTCAGAAATATTGCAGGTTCACTGCATGCACTAAAGGAAATGTTTTCAGCATTAGCCTACCTGCTGAGCAACTTTAAAAAACATATGAAACTGCTCTGAGAAAGACTTAGCTGTCTTTCTCAGGGCAGTTTCATGTGTATATATGGCTAGCAACACAATTTTAAAAAGATTTGAATAAGGGGGACTTAACATATGCAAGTATGGGCAAGAATTTAAGCAAGGGCTAGCATGCTCATGAGCAGAATGGCTACCAGGTTCTTCCACATACATGAGGCATGCCTTGGCTCCAAGGATTGCTTTAAAATGATTGCCACAAGTAAACCCCCATACTGATTTGGGTCTGAGTGGAACTAGTCAACCTGCACCTGATATATACCAGAAAAGGGCAACAAAAGATTTTGAGGAAGCTTGGATATTTATCAAATTCAATTACCCATCTGGATTAATAATAAAAAACAATTCAACTTTACTTCATGATTTTGCTGATATCTCACAAGGAATTCTATATTCTAGCAGAACAGGTGAAATTAGTGTGCCCATCACCCTTAAGAGTATGGAATGCAAGGTCTAGTTTGCCAGTTTTAGAGATATTCATAAAGGGAAAAGAAGCTAATTTTCTGTATAGCTGATTAATGTGTCAACCTTGTGTTGTTCCTGGGGCAACAGGCTCTAGATAACCAGAATGAAACTCCATTCCATACATAAGTATCTCTTTAAAATAGTTCCATGTAAGCATTTATCATGCAATTGGTAGACTGTGGAAGCTACAAAATGAATATGAAACCTAGATGGCAAATATAGTAGTTCTTGGAAAATAGCAATATTTAAAAATGACAGAGAAATATGAAGGATTGACCTCGCATGGCCATAACCAAACAACAAAATGCACCTCTCTTCAATGCAACTTCCAGGCATGCCTGTCATTCAGTTAGCCCATGTGGGCAAAATCCACTATGCAGGTCTGTCATTCAGTTAACCCAAATGAGCAAAATCCACTATGCAGGTCTGTCATTCAGTTAACCCACATGAGCAAAATCCACTATGCAGGTCTGTCATTCAGTTAACCCACATGAGCAAAATCCACTATGCAGGAACTTGTGAAGAGATGGGAATGGAGTAAAGAAGGAAATTACACCTTCTTGAGTCCTGGAGTAGAAACCCGGAGAGATGTGAAACAAGCAGACCCTTTGATACTCAAAAGAATTCTTGTCTGGACAACACATCTTACAGTCAGATCTTAATATTCCCTTTTTGTTTTTCAATCAAGATCTTCACTATAACTTCAACTTCTTCCTCCTGTTCTCTCTTGCAATCCATCATTTCAATTTTTCTTCTTCTGAAAACTGTAATTGGATGTAAAATATTTTTTTTTTAAATGAAATACACAATTTGCTCAGATAAGACTTTGAGCTGAAAATCCTTAAATTCCTACTCAGCCTGAAACTAAGTAAGTGACAGCAACAATCTTGCACTTGAGTCATCATGACTCAAGACTTTCCTGGATGCTGGAAATATGTGAAATGATATAGAATGCTACCTGGAATTGGAAAAACCATTATTTTTACAAAGTATAACCATCAACATGACCAGGGCAGGCTGTCCTTGTCTGACAGCCTATCCTATATATGAGACAGTCTAGGTAAGTATGAACTATGTTCATAAATATGCCATAATACCATCTATAAGCTGTAATTTGGGCACTGTTAAGACACTGCCTTAGTGCAATAACCCTTTCCAGCATATTTGTTGCACACATGGCAACAATTATGTCGGACAGGGTCCAAGTTCTGATGTGAAAGGCCAAACTGACACTTTTAATTGCCACAAGATCATTGCTCTGTGCCAATGTGAAAACTTGAGGGAGGGGGTACACTCATCATTGCAAAAATGCCTAAAAGTCACCTTCCTAGCATATGTTTCTGCTCAAGTTACAGCCACATCAACCACTAGCATAGGAATAAGGTTAGTAATTTGTGAAAATAGCAATGATGGCAAAATGTATGACACGATCTGTTATTTTGAGACAAGTCTAGGTCATGAATACATGATTATGTCGCAATGCCATTGAAGTAAAATTATTTCAATATGGTGGCTACTAGAGAGGGACTCAATGAACATTCAAAATAATAATGCATTCTGCTCTTACATAAACCATTTTGAATCACATGACATAAAAATTCAGGAAAATATTGCAATGATGTATTATAGCCATGTCAAAAAGGGTTCAAATCAAGTTCATACTCCACCAGCCAAATAGGCATTCAAGGTAATTGACAGCCTTCTATGTCCAAAAATTTTTACACAGTGCAACTACATGTTAATCCAATTTTTAAAAAAGCACTTCTAAGTATTTCTATCAAAGGGAACAAGTAAGAGCTATGAAAAGTCCTCAATTTAAAGAAGGCACCAAACAACAGCATAAGTAGTGCATTACCAAATAGCAGAGTGCTATTTAGTCCTAATTTTAATTTCATTTCTATTTTGGTTCAGTTAACTAATATACAGAATGAGGTAAAGTTGCAAGTTCAACTGGGACTCTGCCATTCATAAAAAAATGTGGATTTTAAGAAATTGATGAATAATTAATTTCAACAGTTGAGGTCAGATGGTCTCCAAGATATGCAGTTCAAATTTTCAGGTGGATAGACAAAATACCCAGTTGAACAAAAATACCATCCCTCCCAAACTGCTCAAGCTAGGTATAAAGAAATATATGTTTCATTATAAAGCTTGAAATTAAACAATTCAAACTGCTTCCTGCATCTCATTTTTAAATTTAAAATACCAGCTATAAAAATTTTGCAGTTGGAAAACTTCCAATGACTCTAGCTATGGATGCTCCATCAAACTCAGCCAATAACATCTTTCAGTCATTTCTCAGCCATCACCACTGTCACCAATTTCAGTCATAATCATTGTTTCAAAAATTACCAATTCAAACTTTCACATTTTGCCAAATTTAACAAACTTTGCCCTTTGGTAACTTTCATTTGATTTCAGTACAAGTATGTTATCTTCAGGAAATGATGGGTTATTCAAAGTTCTTTAAATATAATATGGCTTCAATATGCTACTCTGAAGAATAGTGTGAGTAGATTACTACAAAATGGAAGTTGCCCCAGGCCAATTCCAGGACATTAGAGCCAGTCAAGGATACAACTTTTTACTTATTAACAACAACAAAAAATTAGCCACCAACAAAATATGTCTAACTTTGGCAACAACAACAAAAAAAAATCCTGAAGGACTCCACTTAGTAAAATATTTCCCATACATTTTCCTAGTTTTTGGCTCAATATGAGGAACTAACACAGGATATTTTTAAATGTGTACCAATTGCTATTGGTACACATTATCAGTCCAAGACAATTTCAATAGGGCAACAGTCTCAAAGTATGGATAAGTCTATTTCATGCATATAAAATATGAATGGTACAGGGATCTCTTTAAAAGAAAAGGATGCTTTCCAGCAACAACATAACTCTGCAGTCATAAAACCTTTGTTTCAGATAAGTTCAGGTTCCAAATAAGAGTCCTTAAATGTTGAATTCACAATCACTGTGCTATCAACTGTCCTTTAGTGAAGAGTCAGGGACTGTGAGATAAATTAAAAAGTTGGATTTTGGGGGATTGTTATTGTTAGAGTAATGGAATAAAACATCATTAACACTAAAGAGCTTGGAATGGCCTCTCATTTCATTAAAAAAATCATACAAGTACCTGGAATCTTAAGTTATTGAAAGTCAAAGTTTGGCATATATTATGATAGAATGGTCTGACTACAAGCTTTAAAAGAGTAATGAACCAGCTTACTAGCTTGAGATGTAAGATTTTTGTGCATTGCCTCTTCTCTCCCTCCCCACAAATTAAGGTCTACACATTAGAAACTGTTACACCTCAATTGCTGAATTGACATATTTCCATATTCACCTAATCCCCAATGGCCATGACTTCCTTTTATAGCTACAGTATGCATCAAAATTAATGTATCAGGGTTACCTCTTATTCAATGAGATGTAGGAAAACCTTTTATATCAACATAAGTACATACAGAGCCCTGATCTCAATAGAGTATAATTGCCCTGTGCTTCAACTACAACATGCAATCGGCCCAGCATCAAGTCTGCCAATTTTTTTGGCAAATTCTTCTCTCAAATTCTCCCACTCCTCCTTAATTACTGCTCTTAAAAAGTCTTGATTGTTCTGGGCCACCAATGCACCACTTTGACCTTCAAGAGAGCCTGCACATTCTCTATGGGTTTGAGGTTGGGAGACTGCAATGGCCAGTCCTAAAGGAACACCCCATTCTCAGCCCTCCAGTTGGTCACCTGCTTTGAGGTGTGCTTTGGATCATTGTCCTCCTATAGCACCCAAGTCTTCATTGAATCAGGAAATATAGTAGCTGCAGAAGGCAAGAGGGCATGCTCATAAATGGTCTTCAGCAGATGTGCATCCAGGTTCCGGGTGAAGGTGCAGATCTTCCCAATCCCTCCAGCATAGAGGCAGCCCCAACATGCAACTTACCCAGGTGTTCGACAGTCCGAGTGATCACTCTTTTCCCTCCACCATTCCAGTCTTTCAATATATTTTAAGCCAACCGGCCTTCACAGGCTTTTAAGATCTTTTTGTACTTTGCAATGGCGCAGAAGAGAGCTTTGGACATGAAGCAGCATGAAATCAATCTCGTAGCAATCTTCATTGAAAGAAGCATTTTTTCTCACGCCAATGAAAAACAGCTGTGGGATGTAACGAACTAGAGTCACCCATTTTTTTTTAGGTGGATCAGTACTCATGGGCAGCTGTCCTGTGCAAAACGTTAGAGCAGCATAGTCTCCCTATCTTTCGAGAAAACCCTGGTATGTTAATTTTGACGACCACTTTATGTGGTGGTGGCTGCTGGTGCAACCACACTTCCTCCTTCCTCTTGAAAAGGAATGCCCCCATACCTAATATGGCTCATCAACCTTGACCACAAAAACAGGACTGGATTTGGGGCACAAATAAGATACACATGGAGAGATTTGTATGAAATTTGTCCTTTTGATCATGAATAATCAGATTGAAACTATTTCAATTCATCACTGCAAGTAGCTTCATGACTGGAAGCATACTATGTACTCTTCCCTTCAGCAATTTTAATTAGTCTGTTGGCTTTTTTCTCACCAGCCTGTGTCCTATCCCAAAGGCTTCAGGGCATTAAAATTTGAAAGATGTAGCAGTTGTTTTAAAGGTTTTAGAAGCCAATCATGTTCCCTTGTTGCAACTACTTGCAACAAGGTTGGTCCACTTGCCAGGATTCAACCACCCTGATATTCAGAATGAGTTATGAGAGAATTTTCCAGGTCACTTTCTTTTAGTATACTTTCATGACAGGACTTCAGCAAATGAACCAAAAGGCATCAGCTATGAGAAAAACTGCCACATATTGGTCCTACCATGACAAACATGAGGATATTTCATGCCTCTATGTCCCCAAAGCATCCAAGAAAAGCTGTCTCACTGAATAGGAATTTTATTAAATTGTGGAAAACCTGCATTGATATCACCAATGAAGTATGATGATACTGAAGAGATGCTCAATCCCATTATACTGAACTTGCTATGCTGATCTCCAATGAGAATGGATGGATGCCTGTTACCTTCTATCCATTTCTCCCCAACCTTTATCATCCCTTACATCATCCTCAGTATTTCATTTTTCTTCTTGGATGCACACTCAAGGCTCCTCAGCTTAGAATAAAATTGTCCTAGAGGCACCTAAAAGAAAAAATACCTAATTCCTATTCTGGTTTGAGTCTTGGTATGACTGTCTAAAGGACAAATCTGATTTGCCAGAAAAATTCTTTCATCTCCAATCATTACAGCTAAGATCAAATGGTATTTCATAAATGAAGCCCCTCTTCAGCCAGTCATCTCAAAACTGCAGGTGTGGGTACTGAAACTAGATAGCTTATACACAGAAGGCCAACATTAAATTATTTCATTCTATGGTTGATGTATAACAAAAGAGAGTATCTTATATGCAGATAATGTTGTAATGTGTCATTCAAGGGCATTTCTATGATGACATTCAAATAGCATGCAAGTTATTTTGTAACATGGCTCACCTTTTGCTGAATGGCAGTACTGGGAGGACTACTGTAAAGCTGAGAAAGCTGCTGATTCAATTGCTGGATCTCATATTGCACTGTTGGATGGAAGCTGGGAGTTGGTGGTCTCTGCTGAGCCAAGGCCATACCAGAATATGGATGACTCTGAGGCTGAGCTGCTTGCTGCTGGGGATGTTGTACAGGACCATATTGGCCATAAGGTGGCCATGCAGTTGCAGCTCTAAGAGGGGCTGGTGAAGTCATGTGGAAACTTTGAGGCATTGCACCAGAATGCAGTGGCTGTGCACAAGATGGTGCAACAGGTTGAACCACATGAGGATAAGTGGTAGGAGGCACAGAACTGGCAGCAGAAATGGCATGTCCTTGGGAGAAAGAAATGCCAGCAGAGACTGGGCAGTCTGTTGATCTTGCAACAGAGGTACACGTAGGAGGGTACTGCACAGTGGTAGATATTGAGTCTTCAGCAGAAACTGTTGACACCTGCGATGAGAGTGGGATCTCGCTGGAATGCGATGTAGTGGAAGGAATCATGTCAGACCCTTGAGGCCCAGATGTTGAAACTGGTTGAACAGCAACACTTGGTTGCTTCTGTACTTGCACATCCTGTGGAGATTTCATCATTGCTTGAATCCCACTCAAAGCCTCTTCTGGAGTTATCTTACATTCAATTTCTTCTTTGCCATCACCAGATCCAGATATTGAACCTGCAACGTTAACCACCTCTTTTGTACTTTCATCACTCATTGTATCACTTGGTGTCTCTCCTTTGCACTCATTCACTTCCTTCGGGATATCACTCATGACTGGTTGCATTGATGCAGATGTCTCTTCCATGCTCACCATCATACTTCCAGACCCTGTGGTTGGGGGTATGGAAGTGGGAATACTGATTCCTGACTGAGAACAACTTGTCAATACATCTTCACTGATGCATGAGGTTGCAACAGTTGTGCTTGCACTAACTGAGGGCGAAGTCCTAGGTGGGGCTCCACTATTGGAAGGTGAGGGTTGGGGCCGAGGCAAACCCCACTGCTGTGGGGACATGGGAGTTCTTGGCCCCATGCTAGGGCTCTGAGCTGGTCGAGGGATCACATTTGGAGAAACAGGGGGTCTGATTTGCCCATGCTGCTGCATGGGCCCAGTAGGACTTGTCATTGCAGGACTAAATGATTGCTGCTGCATGCCTCCAGGAATTGCATTGTTGCCAGACCGGGGAATTGGAGAAGTTTGTTGTTGTTGCTGTTGCTGATAGCCCATTCCAGGGCCAGGACTGGAGAAGGGATTCATGGGAGGGCCAACCATTTGTTCCAACTGTTGGAGGCTTGAACGAGGGAAATTAGAATCATTGGGAAGCACATTTTGTGTTGGATGAACCTTGGAATGAAGAGATGGAGATGCTCTTGGAGAAGATGATGACTGAACAGAGCGTGGTGACATGTTGGTATTTGGAATCAAATTCTGATGAGGAGATAGCTGTGGACTGGGAGATCCCTTCTGTTGCTGAGAGTGGGAAACTTGGAATGTGGTTGGAGAACTATAGTGAGGACTTCCAGAAGGTAGCTGCACACCTGAATTAGGCTTCTCAGTTCTTTGTATCACACCAGTGGTCTGAGACCCAGATCCAGGGCCTAAATATGTTGACTGACTTGGGAAAGGCTGGGAATATGGTCCATTTATTTGTCCTTGCACTTGTGCCTGGTGTTGTGTGGGCTGTTGTGTAGGCAGTGGGGGTTGTTGCATTTGCTGCTGTGGCTGTTGCATCTGCTGTTGCTGGCCTATGTATGGGTATCCAGACATGCTCATTCCATAAGGATGTGCTTGGGGCATCCTATGGGGATGACTACCCCTCATTCTTGCACTGTAATCAGGTCCCATATGACCCTGGTATGGCATACTCATAGGCATGGAGCTTTGTGATGGGTACCTGGCTGCCGTAGGCTGATTGACATATGATGAACCAGAATGAGAAGGATAATTCTGTTCGTATGGAACTGGTCCCATTCCAGGTCCTCTTGGCCCACCGGGAACACCATTAGAGTATGCCCCATAACTTGATGAGGACATCATGGGATAATGTGGCCTTGACACTTGTGGTAAGCCCCACCTATTAGTGTCAGAAGGTACTGGTCCTTGGGTTGAAGCTCCATACATGGCTCTACTCCCAGTTGCAGATGAATTATACAGTGGGGTCTGATTTTGCTGTATGGGAGACTGTTGTTGATAATTCATGGTTGGCATTGAGTAACTGTAACCAGTTGCCCTGGGTGTACTTGCACCTGCATTTGAATACCCAGGATTCTGCATACTTCCTGGAGGCATCATGGAATGAGTTGGTGGGACATTATTTTGGGACCCATACATCATGTGGTAGTCATACTGATGATGCTTCATGCCATATGACTGAGATGTAGCCTGCATAGAAGACTGTGGCAAAGGAGAGGGGCCTGGCTGTTGTGGCTGGGTGGATGCACTCCCATTTCCCAACTGGGTATATGAGGACCCAGCTCCATTGCCAAATGGTGTGCCTGGCCCTTGACTATCTGACACAGAAACTTGAGGCTGGACAAAGGATGGGTCAGTCTCACCCAGGGCTGTGAGGCTCTCCAATACACTCCCTCCCAGATCATCACTGAATAAATCATAATTTTCCATTCTGATTCAACTTCTGTATTTTCTTGGCCCCATCCTGTCACACAACCTCACTTTCATTTATCACATAACATCTGAAATAGGAAATAAACCGGTATTAACATTATGGCATTTCTATTTCCTATCAGACATGTGCTAAAAATTAGGAATACCTAACAATAATGTTTTACTAATCACTACACCCATTTGCATCATAGCATGTTATACTAGCAAAACTGCTATAGCAACTATACAAATTTAGTTACTAGAGGTCAGTGGCATGCCCAGGAAATCTGAATGGGGTCACCATATGAAACACTGATTACTCACCCTAATGAGGGGGGGGGGTTCACATTTAAAAAAACTGATAACCCACACTGTATTTGTGGCAAAATAAAAAAATTTGTGAGAATTGAACATGTAAAATTGACCCCAAGGGGGGGTTATGACCCGCAAAACCCCCCCCTTGGGCACGCCACTGCTAGAGGTTAGTAGGACTTGTTCCCTAATCAACAATCACCCAGGGCATCCATGAAGAAGGGAGGCCATAATGAGATGGGCAAAAAGGAGTAGAAACAAAGGCCATCTCAAGAGCACTTGTGGAATGAGCAGTAGACCCCCTTCTGATGGTTGGAGGGTTACCCAAGCAATACATATGATAAAATTGCCTTCAACATTGCAGTGTATCACATACCATTGCATTCTGGTCTCAACCCATCTCCAAGAACAGGCTTGTCTAAAATTCTACCCCACCATAGCAAGTTGTTTTCAGTGAAATTCTATCAAATAGATTCTGCTGAATTTATAGCAATTATCAGCTGCCAAAGAAGACAGCACATTTTTACTGAGAGGCATGTCAAAGAATGCATTATTGCACCAGATATTATGGACAAAATCGATCTAAGATTACACTATGATGCACATGTAGGTCACCAATTCCTTATAAGCCTTGTGGACTTCAACAGTGTCCCACAATGGAGAGGATCTGTGACGTTAAATAGTTGCCAAGGCAGTTGCAGGTACTCATTTTAGTTGCTTCACTGGTTGATATAACACCAATAAGAGATAACCAAACCCATAATGATCAGGAACTAAGAGGAGAAAGGAAGCTTCTTAGCTTGAAAAGCAGCAATCAGGGAAAAGAGATGTCCATAATGAAACATACATTCAGCAAATCAGAGCAGAAACTGAATAAGGAGCACTTTCCAAGGGGGGAGACATGAAAATTTAATTATTGTGATGCAATCCAAGCAGTTTCACAAAGTATAAGTAAACTGGGAAGTCTGCCCTTCCATTTTAATTTCTTAAAAATCTATGATCACATACAAAAAGGTGCATGTGACTACACAGGTTCAATTTGCCCTATTCAGCAACACTGAAGGATACAAGCAGGAATTTTCATTACTACAGGGCACAATCAGAACATGTTAAACATAGTACTATTAGTTCATTCCATGAATGAACTAATAGTACTAAGTACAATAGTCTACTGTACCCATCACTCAGGCTAGGCTAAGCTTTTGCAACATTAAGTGGTCTGGTTCTGCAAGTGGGATGCAAAATGAGATCCTTCTTGCTGGGATTCATTTGGAAAAACTGTATTATGCAGCAAATGAGCTTAATTTAATTTGGGGTTAAGAAAGACTTCCAGGAGTTTATAGGGGAGGAACTACATTTGTCCAAAACTATTATAGTGGGGGAAATAATTTAATAATAGCATTTGGTAGTCTTAGGCACAAAATCCTGAAGCATGATTAAAAGTCCCTTCCACTCAAGATCGCTTTTTTACCTATAGTCCATGGATTTATGAAGGAACACTAAAAAGAGACTTTAGCATTTGGGCCTCACAAATCCAGGTTTTCATGGATTACTTTATGCATAAAAAATGCCTTCACATGCTGTCTTCTTTGCTCTAGTTTCCTCCAAAGTCCCCCTGAAGAATCTGAGTCAGCTACAGATAACTACTTGCTTCTAAACCTTCAACATAGCCTCATCCTACATTTTATGCAAGTTTTAGTTTTCTAAAAGATACCTTAAGGACTGCACTGAGAATTGGTTCTCTGAAGGTTCACTTGCATTCTCTTCCTAATAGCAGTTTCTCCTCTTTATAGCAATGCTCCTGTACTAAAGGATTGTATCCCTGAACACTTCAAAAAGGCCTCAAAATTCATGACATAGTCATTTGATCATAAAGGATTTATCATATAAGGGATGTGGTGGTGGTGCTGTAGGCTGCATGCAGAACTTGAATAGGGCTTGGCCTGAAGAGTAGTGATGAGAGTTTAATGAGAGGAAATCATACAACAGCCATGCACTGGATAGAGGTTCAAATACCACTTCCTGCTGTGTGCATGGACACCAAGTCTGCTCTGCTTTCATCATGATAGTGAACTTCTATAACTTCTCATATCCTTGATGAGCGAGAGTATACAGTGGCCAAAAATTCAATGTAAGCAGATGGGATTCTCATCACCATATGAGACATCTACATCCTGCAATGGCCTAGACATATTCCACTACTTCTTTGGGAGGGTAATAAAAACCCAGAACATCTGTATCTCTCCCCAAGTGATCAAATATATTGTGAGGTATCTTAAATCTCATTAAAACAGGACTACTGCCACTTGCATGATTTGTCATAAAATGCTTTCCTTTTAGACTACTCAATATACAAATTTTCAGAGCAAGCTAATGTTTATAAAAGAATTGTTGAATCATCTATATCTCGCCTTCAAATCCTCCACCAGGATTTGTGTATTGAAAGAACACTGAATTCAAGGCAGCAACAGTGGGCAGAGGTTTTTCCACTTATAGGTAAAGGTAGGTACGCTCTCCTTGACGTCTAGGACAATAGATACCTCAAATCGTTCAGTGGCTATCAACGTGCACACTACCTAATTGGCCTTGCCCCGACACCTTTCGGATGTATCTGTATCGCATCACCCCTCCTCTCTCCCTCGCCGTGGAGCACCAGTTTTTTTTTTTTTTTTAGGGGGGGGGGGGGCAGAACACCCGCGAGAAAACAGATTTCAAGCAAACGTGCAAGAAATGTTTACTTTCAGTTTAGGAGCTGCTAAGGCTGCAAATGTTATATTGGTGGCTTTTCCTCGGTAGGCTAACCTGTACAACCTGATATGAAGTGGTCGGTCGGTCGATCCACGGTTGAAGGCTTTTTTTTTAAGCCTCGGAGATGTTGCCGGTTTAAATACGAAGCAATCATGTTTATTCACGCATAAACCCACAGAACCCTCAGGCTTGCCGCGATGATCGATGAGGCAAGTCAGTGCTGCCGGATGCATTCCTTTTGCCAGTGGGAGATGGATTTCGTGCAGGCTACTTCCAACTCACACGGGGAAAAGCCATACGCTTATGCAATCTAACCATTAGCATGAGCGCAACAGCTTTTCCCGGTGCGTGCCGGAAACTGAAGAAGTGAACTTCACAGGATTCGCTGAGACGGGGCTGCTGAAGAACTTGCTTGTGCAAGATCCCAGACTGTGAGGAGAGAGCAGACGGATGGAAGCCAATCGACGGGTTTCTTGTCTCTCTTAGGACTCCAACCATGGGCCCTATATAGGCCTACCCTCTTACACAGGCACCAAAAATTCCGTCGCAGTCGGAAGACACTCACGTCAGCACTGTCGAATCGTACTCGAGGCACAGAATCACAGACAAATGCTGCGGGCGTTTTGAGAACTACTGTCACTAGTAAGAACCTCTTCACCAGTAACCACGAATAGGAAGTCGATCGAACTACTTGGCGCATTAGAAGGGAGGCAGGCGGAGCAATGATAAAGGGAATAGGCGCGGGTGCAGGAGTATAGAGACGAAGGAGCAAGAGGGAGGAAGGAGAGCGAGAAAGAGAGAGGAGCCAGGCAGGCCAGCTGCCCCAGCCAGCCCAAAGCGGGAGGGAGAGAGCCAGAGAGGGCGAAAGAAGAGAAGTTCTAACGACGCAGGCGAGGACAACGTCCTCTTTCCTCCTCCCTCTCACACTCCTCTGATTCTCTCCTTCCCTTTCCCTCTTTTCCACACGAAAAAAACCTACCCCAATCTTCGTGGGATTATGTGGAAACTCAATTGGGGCTACCACGATAGGAAATGGGCGAGGGTTAATAACGCTGCCTAGGGAGTGTGTCACTGTTAGTATCAAACGCCGGCTCCCTCACTCGCTTGGAAAGCACATTCACTATGGCACAGGAAAGACAGACGGATGACTCCACAGGAGGGGGGGACGGGAGCCCTATTCTCTTTCCCCTCTTGAAATCCCTGGCTCCGTTGCATAGACCTGATGCGCGCATATTCCCCAGCGTTGCCACGCTCAACAATAAAATTCTCCATCAGCCTGCGGTAGCACTAGTCCCACCACGCTGACCCCATCAGGCATCAGCTGCTCCGTCCTCACTCGCTGGCTCATCCTCTCCTGCCTCATAAGAAAGCGCTCCAAGGCGCCAGCGCATTCTTTCCCACTCAAGCTCTCTCCCTTGTACCCCCGGGGAACTTGGATATTTTCACCTTCTTATCGCCAGCTAAACCGCGATCTAAGTCTTACATACGTGAAAACAATCAACAGAAAAGCAAGGCGAGAGGGTGGAACTTTCGAAGTGAAGTCCAAGTTTCATGAAATTTTGTAAGGGGGCTAAAGTTGGAAACAAGCCCTAGGGAAAGACAGTTGAAGCTGCAGCTATACTCAATCGTGAAAAAAAAAAAACAAGGAGATTGAAGCTGTCTGTAAGCAATGCCCAAAGAAATGAAGTGAGGATTCGTAAGTCGTAAACAATCCTAGGAAAAAGAAAGGTGAAGGGGTTGACGTTATCGTGGACATTGGAATACCACCATTCCTACCATGAAGACGATGTGAAGTACGAGACGAATTCCGCGCAGGGATCCAGGAGCAGACATCGAGGGTATTCGACTCACATTCCAGGGGAAAATAATACGCTTATGCGGAGGGAACCGAGAAGCTGCATGAGCGCAAGAGTTTCCCCCTAAGCCTGTGAGCCGGTGCTCGGTAGATCCTTCTCTTCTCCCTCTCGCTCGTATCCTTCTTCAACTCTCTCTCCCTCTCTCTCCTGCTCTTCTCATGCGTCGCTGAATTTCTCCCCTTTCGATCCGACAGAGACGGAATGGGAGCGAAGTGAAGAAGCAACTCGAAGAGGAGAGCTCACTGAGACTCCCAGCCGAGGCTCGGCCGTGAGAGTGCAGTCAGTGGGCAGGCAAGCCCCGCTGCCTGCATCAGTGCCCAAGCCTCCCCCTCCCCTTCACTCCCCTCCCTCTGGCCCTTTTCCCCCATTTTCCCGCCAACAATGATGAGCAATCCCTTCAAAGAAAGGATTAGTCTGCTCCTGCCCTAGGATTACCTTGTCCCACCGCTTGGGACCTTTTTCCTTCTTCCACGATCATTCCTCCACCGGACTTGACCCAAGTTTATTTCCTCCTTTTGACTTACATGCACATTGCCCCTTTTTTTTTTGGGGGGGGGGGGGGGGGGGGGGGGAAGGGGTCATACATTGCCCCTTTTTTTTTTGGGGGGGGGGGGGGGGGGGGGGGGGAAATGTGACTAACCAAGGTTTCAGTCAAAATATGATCGCCATGCAACGTGTAAAGAGTTTTGCTAAAACAGCGATGTCATATCACGCGTGAACAAGGAGTGACAACTAGTTTGAATTATACGAACTATTGTGAAGGCATGCCACAACATAGGTGGCGATTCACAAGGCCTTAAACAAAGATAAACAAGGTCTGGACAGTTCATCACGCAAGCGCCATATTGGTTCACTTCTCCCCATTCCCTCCCTCTTCCGAAATTGCTATTTCTAATTAATTAGTACGGAATACTAAGTATACGAGTTTATGTACTAAGCCTCTACCTGCACCTTCTTGGTGCAGCTGGACATGCAATAGAGTGGGAGAGCAAGCTTGGCTAGGCCTGCAAATGACACGAAAGATTGACTGTAATTTACGCTTGTTCCTTATGAATCTCTAAGATTGGTATAGCAAAGTGATATTCCAACTGCAGGAAGGCTCACCATGATTTATGAACACATTTCATGAGCACAGAAACACAAGACATTAGGTTGTATTCAGGGCCGGCCCTAACTATTTCGGCACCCTATGCAAAGAGACTCCCCCCCCCCCCCCCCCCCCCCCTCTGTGGGGAGAGGGGCCGATCCCTAGCGTCAAAAAAGACAGAAACGGGAGGCATTTAATTTCTGAAGGAAAACTGAGGGTGGCATTCATTATTGCTTCCTTCAATCTGGCAAGTTTTGGCGTCCATGGGGAATTTCCGCCTTATGAGGGGGCACATGTGGCACATGCCTAAGGCCGGCCCTGGTTGTATTCATCCTCCTCGAAAATAATAAAAATAATAAAATAAGAAATAAGAACGAATGCAATAGAAGCATAGAAGAACTTATGTTTTTCAAATAAAATTTTTCCTCTTCCTCTGAAATGGAATTACGTCATAATTTTCAACCTGACCTGAAAAAAGACTACCACATTTTATTCATTAGATCATGAGAGGACATAGAAAACAAATCAGAATCAGTCAAGAACTTCTGTGGCCTAACATATTGCTCTCACCTCACACCAGTGGCGTAGCAAGAAATTTTGGCCCCCCCTCCCTCAAAATAACTGTAAAAAAACTCATTTCCTCATGACAGGTTTGCTACTCACTGTATGGATGGAATAAAATCTGATATCGAAGCATGACGAATCAGTAGATATGGTTCAGTTGGTCCTTTTTTTAAATGTATCGTATCCATAATGATAGAGAAAAATGGCACACTTTTCATATCACGCAGTAGCTCTGTTTCCAAATTATTTGCAAGAAGCTCAATGAACTCGCTTTGGATTTAAGGACTCAGATAATTATTTTCCCACTTGGTCTGTGAAGAAGCTCCTTCATGTACTTGACGTTTGGCTGCTTCATCATTTGTGCCATTCTCCTTCCATTGGACATAGGTCATGGAAATTGAGGGGTGTGCAGCTGTTTTTGCACGGTCCTTAATTTTTTGCGAAAGTTCACGCCAGTCACGTATCCCCATAGATCAGGTGGAATGGTATTTTGAGTCCTTTCTGTCAGCAAACAGCCAACAGGGCTCACAGTAAACGGCATCCAGTTTTCGGAAATAACACAGTCAGGTTACTGGGATGGACAGCCCCAATTTCGCTGTGGTACTGTAATATGATTCTGAGAACGAGCAGTCTTGAATTTTATCCTTAGGGTAGGGCCCCTTCGATCGGCATGGTCCTTGCTCCAGAACAAATCTCTTCTTCATCTGGGAGGTGACTACTGTACATCTGTTGGAAAGTTTCCTGTTTCCTAGGTTGGTTGTCTCTCGCGCGAAAGAGCACCGAACAAGTCTTTAGATGCAGCTGCAGGACCCAGGCAGCATGGCGCTGGCTCGCTTACATCCGCTAGAGCCACGTCGATTTCCAGTTCAGGCGTGTCTGTCCCGTTCGTGAAACGATGCTATAATCTTCCAAGGCGACTCTAGGATCGTCAGTAGTGTCCTCTTCCCCCAGGAGACTATTCTCAGTGGCTTCACCTTGCAATTCTTGGAGATCCGGTTCGAAAATAGCAGTATTATCAGAGTTTGAAGCTCCTCCAGCAAAAAAAAAACTATCAATATTCTTCCCTTTTTGTTGCTCTCGATCTGCTTGCCGTCGTTTTTTCCTCTTTGCAGCACCACTAGTCTTGCTACTCATTACAAATAATCACAAGGGAGAAATAACTCAAAGTTTCTGTAATTTGCAGTCTATATAACTTTTGATGAGATGAGCTCAACTACTGAATAATGGTGCTCACCGCCGAAGTTAACAGCAAGTTACCCTTTTTTCCCGGTTACGACACTTATGTATGTTCATATAGGGTGTGTCTTTTAAAAGTGTGCACAAAGTTGTGATGGCCATTGGCCGAGCCTTTGGCCTAGAATGGCATAGCCTTGTAGCCTCACGCGTTAAGGCCTACAAGGCCTTTCTAGGCCATAGGCTTGGCCAATGGCCATCACAACTTTGTGCACACTTTTATGAGACATACTCTGTACTTGCACGGTGCCAGCCAGGGTGCAGATCTTGCATCATATTAACTCGTAATGCTATGGCCTAACAATGGGAGAGTTGCCTTCTCCAAAGATAAGTTAACAAGTCTAAACTCGACTATGATGGGTTGATAATCTGACAGTATTGCAGGGGGGGTCCTGGCTGGAGTCAGCCAGGCCCCCCCCCCCCCCCCATGGGCGATGGCCATTTACTTCTTTATACTATTTTTTAAAATCTTTTTGCATATTTTTGTTTACATTACAGAACATTTTACATGTTTGATGGGAATTTTGGGCCCCCACTGGGCCTGGGACCTCCCCACAACTGCGGGGGCTGCTTGGGCAGTTGCTACACCACTGCACCAGAAGCAAAAAACTCAGCACGGGGATATGTGAAGAAAAAGAATGTAGCAGCAAAAGGGCTAAGGGAGTTGCTCTACATGACTAAATACAAAAGCATGGAACATTTACAGCCATGTGTTGAAGAGAAAGTTGAGACTATGAAATTGTTTCATTGTGCATTCAGTGATTTCCTCAAGCACTACCAAGAATGTCTCAATTCAATAGGTGAACCCTATGAAGGTATTTAAAAATTATTTCATGCTGACTTTATTGCTGCAGAAAAAGAAAAGAGATATAGGAATGTTCTAATGCTTGTTTTACATTTTAATCATTTTTAGCTCTAGACTTATGTACATTCAAATTTGGCAAGTCTGTTATGGTACACCCTGTAGATCTACAATATACAGGGTGACCATAAAGTCTGGAAACAAGGATTGTATTAAGGATATATTAAGATAATGTGCAAATAAAAGAAAATAAATGTTCAAAATGTTCTCCCATTAAATCAATATAGATTTGAAAGTGACGTTTGACGTGTTGATGAATCAGATTAAGTAAATTGGCATTTCCATTCCAAAAAATTATCCTAATATATCCTGTGTTTTCAGACTTTATGACCACCCTGTATAAAGGCCAGTTGATGACATGGTGACTCTTCTTGACCTGCTTGACATTTTGAGACATCTTGCTTGTGCACTGCTGTAGGATTGTATAAAATCATATTATTCAAGAGAGTTCCTAATTGCTTACCATTCTGCAGCTACTTTTATTACGAATATTGTAAATTCAGTCTCACATGCTTTCACATTTTAAATATGCCTTATTATATTCCAAACCTGTTTGTCCTTCAGATGATGTTACTGAATCAGAACATTTCATATCTTCGCAACTTGGATTCTGCCTGTTCATCTGGTGGCTTGCTGACACTCTGTCTTAACCTACCATATCTGGCAAGATTCATCAAAAGATGGGTTGATGCCAAATCATCTGGTACGCTAGTAATACCCACTACTCCCTCTGATGCTGCCTATGTCCGTTCTACGTGAGTGCCTAATGGTTTTTGCAGTTCTGTAACTCGATATAGAGACAATTCATTTCCTATTGTTTTGTGTTTCCTAGGCTTCAAATGCTGACAAAGGAATTGAGTTTCCTTCACAAGACCCTTTCTCTACCTATCTTGGAGCCATTGACCATAAAGAGGATTGAACATTTGGGGATGATTGCCATGGGGTGCTTAGTAGCTAGTTTGGTCTCAGCAGCAATGCATGGCATTCTTGAAGTCTTATCTCCCCAGCCATCTGCAGGGGGTTCTTCATCATCCCTTCCCAGTGGAACCCTTCCTAGTCAGGGCAGTGTTACTGGTGGTTCATCCCTGCCAACTTCTCCTGGACCATCTGGCAAGAAACAGGAGGACTGTGCTATCCCATCAGTAGCTGTCAGGATGCATGTTCGAGATATATTCAGCCTCATTCTCAGTCATGTCAAAAACTCATCACGTGCTGGGGGAAAGGTGCTTATGATTTTGCTTTGTGGCTTTATTGTTTTTAAGCATGGCTATGCTTGACTCCATGTGCACAATTGTATCTTTATTTTATGCAGTACTACCAGAATCTTCAAATGATGGCTTCCTGGCTTCTGCTACGAGGGACAGTTGCGTTGGTTGGTGCAGTTGGAGGTGTTCGTGAACGTACTGGTTCATCATCAGAGGAGAAAATGTCATCCAGTAAAACCACCTCAAAAGTATCACCTGATCACTCCTCTAAGCCAGCTATCCCAGTGCCTCCATTGTCTCCTCTGATGCGTGTAAACCTCATGAAAGTGTAAGGGCTTGTCAAATTTTTGTGTCTTCAATGCAATTGAGATAATCGTCACTTATTTTGCTTTTGGTTCTGTGTTTGCAGTCAGCAGGGGTTTGGGATGCATGCAGTGGAGCTTGCCTCTTTAGGTTTAGAGCTTCTGAAGGGTCTTCTTCAAGATCTGCAAGGAGAGGGAGCAGCTGATCTTGAGTCAGATGCTGTTGATTTTTCAAGTTCATTTCTCTTTGATTTGTCGATTACGAAGGACTACAAAGGACTGGAGAGGGTGATGAAAGTCATGGGCTCTATACCTCTGATCCATTTCTTGCATGACATAGCCATGATCAGCTATCGCAAGGTTAGCTGGCGTCTCAGTTGAGGCTGGTACTTTCTTACCTTCATCTTGTCTATATGATTCTAAATCAGAATTGCCTTGGTTTTTTTTTTTTCTATAGGCTTGTTGCATGAAAAGAGTGCAGAGGAGTCGGGGAGCTCATAATACAACTTTTAGTCTTTCGGATTCCCATGGGTACTATGAGGATGATTTCTCATGCTCCGATGACAGTGCACCCGATGAAGGTAAAGGTAACTGGTGATGTCTGATTATTTCTTTTTTTCCCTGCACAAGTCATAACCAAAGGTTGATCTTTCTTTTTGAATAGATGACGATAGTGAGCCCATCTTGGGTCAGTGGTTTGAAGAGACCCTGATTCTCCCTGAAACTGAAAGGGAGGGAAATGGGAAGAAGGAAGATGGTGAAAATAACAAAGGTATTAAGGAAGATGCTGAGAAGGAAAATGAGAAACTGAGCTCAGAAGCACAAGAAGAGATCCAGGTGGGTGAAGGCACTCTCCTCAGAATACGCAATGCTATATACCAATATGAGTAGGTCTCTGTTACAGTACAGTTGACATTCTCTAATGTTGCCTCATTTTCTTTCAGTATATACAGCTGGCCACATACGTTTTCCATTTCATGACTTCACAGTTAGTGAATAGTCATGTGAAGTTTGTTTCCAAAAACTTTCTCACAAATCTGAAGAAAGAGCAGATGGCTGTCATAGCTGCCCTAATCAGAGACTTGGAGAAAGAGTCTGCTCGATTTGAGAGCGGTGAGTTGTACCTAATTCTCCCCCTCCCATCCCTCCAAGTTTCATTTCATTTAGTGAAATTATGTGGAACGTAGATGCAGGCAATGTGAATCTTCCAGAAGGCTCATGCTTTGATCAAGAATTATCATCGTATTATGAAGACTTCTCCAAAGGATTGTCTGTGTATGTGCACAACCTCATTGCCCTGGGCTTTTTGAATGAGCACCTGCAGACGTCACTTCTAACATATTTGGGTGTCAGTCCCAGCCGATTGGAAGGCACATGGCCCTTGCTCATTTATCCCAAGACCCTTGCCATTCTTGCTCAGGTAAGAGAAACTTCTCTCATTTATAAAGAAACAAAGAATGTCACCCTTTCAACTGAGAGTAGAGGTGAGCATCATTTTGTTTCATTGCATAGATCCTGGTGTTGAAGCAAAAACAAAACAAAATGGAAATGAGAGAAGATGGTGGAGTTATGTTTGTAACCATTTGGGAGAACCTTCTCAACAGTCTCAATCGACACATTTTGTTCCCCTCCCCTTCATCTCCTGACTCCACTGAGTTTGAAGGTGATACAGGTCTAGGGTCACTGCATCATTTAACAATATTTACAGAATTTTCTTATTCTGGCAATGGATAAATATTTCTTTTTGGTTTTTACTCTTGTGCAGACTTGAATGTAGAACATGCCCAGCTGTTGCTATTCCTTTTCCATTCTCTGCCATTGATGAGAAAGAAGATGGTCCTTCTCATTTGTGCGAATTGCATTGTGAAAGCATCCCAAGGGATTGATCTCTCATCTCACCCTGCCAACCCTCTGAAAGAATCCCAGATTCTTCCTCTATCACGTCTTCTCCTCATTCTGGAGTACTTAATGAAGAATTTATATGATGCCCCTTCAGAGCTGTATGAACAGGTATGGTCAACTTGACTGTTCATTTATGTTTGCATTATTATATTCTTAACAGGTCCAAATATAGTGTTATTCTTACTATTACAGATTCAAGCAAACTTGTTCAGTCATAGTTCTACCTTGGGAGGAGGCTCAGATGACTCAAAAGCAAGGCAGCCCAATGGAAAAAAGTACTTTGCATGTGCAAGTATACAGGAAGTCTACAGGAAGTTAACTATGGCTGAGGATTCCTTCCTTGAACCTCGATTTTATAATCTCTCTGCTGTAGAGCTGTGCAGCCAGGATACACCTAAGTTAGATGGTCTTGTAAGGGGGTTTCTGAGTAATTTATTTTCTCCATTTGTTGTATGTTCTTGACATTTTACTGTAACAATTTTTGTGAATAGGCATGCAGTTTTATCCTATCAACACCAGACTTGCTGCGTTACTCGGATTTGTATTCTGCATTGCTGAAGCTGTTGGATATCACCAAGCATTTACCTCATCCACTTTTGGAAAATCCAGATCATATCTCAAGCCCAGCCTATGCCTGCTGCATTCAGTACTGCTTTGGCATTATAACTCGGTGAGTCATGTAAGGGTGTGTACAGGGACAATAAAATCATAAAATTAAGATGCCATAAAAATAACAAAGTGATGATCATGACTGCTTTTCTCTTGACAGATTGGTACTCACTTTGCCTCCATCAGTGGCATATTTAGAAGTCCTTTTGGAGAAGCATTCTGTGGAGGAAAACATTTGTGACAAGCTGGAAGGACATGCCCTGCCATCCCTGATATGGGGCCCCAGAGCTTCATTTGTGACCTTCAGTGGCTGGATGAAGGTTGCTCATTCCTCATCCTTTCTATTGCATGTTCTCACACTGCTATATTGACATCTTTTGGCATCAGTTCACAGATATATCAGCCTGATATTGTACCAAAGTTTGTCATTGATCATGCACTGATTCATATAATACAAAAATGGAGTCTATTGTAACTATTGGGATGTATTATATAGTTGGGGTTCTCAAGAAGCATGATGCCTATTTAAAAGAAACATGTTGGGAGAGGAAACATAAAATATCATAGTCTAATAGTGTACTGGACTTCTAGGCTATTGGGGTTTCTATGGACTGCCAAAAACTCATGAAGGCACAGGAAATTGGTGTAACCTTCCTAAAAGTAATGTAATCTATATAAATGAGACTGTAGGAGTGTGCATGCAGATCTTCCTTTGTATGGAGAATATCCTAACTTTCAGACAGCTGTGACTATGGGAGTATAGGAAGAATGAAAGGAAAGCATTTCTTCTTCACTTCCTAGTGAATTGATGACAGAATCACTACCCAGCATTTGTGAGGTGGGGTGTATGAAACCCCAGGCATCTATTTTCATTGATCGCTGAGAGATGGCTCATGCTGACATGATTCAATATTGCATCTTGTCTCTACTCCATAAACAATTCCAATGAAGATGTCATAAACTTCATGTTCAGTCTTCAGGTCAATAAACGGGAACACAAAGCCAAATCTCCACCTCGTGGTTGCTGGGTGTAATACAGCATTATTGGGAAGGGATAGAATTAGGATGCTTTTTTTGTTGCTGTCAGAGACAAAAGGAGGAGACAAAAAAAAGTTGTTTTTTTTTTTGCCCATGCCCTGTAGACCTATAATTCCATGGATTTGGTGTGAATTCTTCCAGCCTTGGACACTTTTAAGGAACTTAAGACCTTTAAGGTCTCAACTTAGGACATGATAATTTTTTCTTAGATACTATACTTTCCTGACAAGATGAACAAACTGCAGAAGGAATTTGAACTTGTTAGTAAAGTGAATAAAAAATTACAAGTGCAAGAACTAACATTTGTTTACAGGATTGTCTGGTGAAGCAAGGCTTGGCAACTTCTAAAGCAACCACTCTCCTGAAAATGATCAGCAAGTGCCGCAATGGGGTCACCAACTTCACTGAGCTATTCATGGACTTTGCGTCTCATTTTGCCTCACACAACATGTTCATCAAACCTGCAGGTATGATTCATCCCTCTCTGTAAGAGTGAACTTATACTCTTGATATTAGTGCATGAGAGAGAATCCTGTTGTCCCATTCCAGTTAATGACAATGGGCATAATTTTGAGTTTAGCTACTTCTGCCTAATCATCCTCACTCAAGTTTAATTGCACCTGATGTGACCAGTAATTTCTTTTGCTCCAAAAATCCAGATAAATTATTCTAGATTAACTGCATTGCAGTCAGTTGAAGTTGGCATGTTGCTGTATTTGGATGTTGGCTTGTTAAAAAAAGCAACTATGAGCTGATGGCATGGCTGATGGCAACACAAAATCAAATTTTATTCATAGGGGAATGATGATTTTTTTAATGCTGATACATAGCTGAATAATTGGGACTTGAAATGAGGTTTCTTTTCTTTGAAGTTTTATTTGCAGACAACTCAAAAAGTGAAGAATTTTAGTGGTTAGTGCAGGACTCTTGCACTGCCTTATTTACCCCTCACTGTGGTGTTTTCACAGCTGTGCTGGATAATGCAACAAGCATACTATTCAGAATCTTGGATGAAGTTACTCATCATTCTAGTAAAAAATCTAATGGATTGGCTCCTATTGAAACACAAAACTGTCAAAATCAGGAGCCAGAGTTCTGCTAGGGCCTGTTTTGTCTTATCATTGAAATATTTTTCCAATCTTAAGACTAGTGTGGGAATGCCTTACCTCTAGTTCTTTCATGGTATAGTTGGAGTAGGTAATATCTTGTTGGAATAGACTACCATGGCACTATATTGAATAATTGTTGAGGCTATAGGGTATTTGCATGTTTCAAATAATTTTTTTTTTTTAGCTCTGATGATGCTCTTTTTAGGCTTATGAATGAAACAAGGACATTATCTTCATGTGTGGTCATTAAAGTGGCTGACAGATCTTAATGTACAGGTTTTTTGTTATTCATCATTTGTGCAGGTGGTGGTGCCCTGAAAATGAGCCAACTGCCTGCTCTGGCAGATTTGATGGTGCTGGACTTGATTGTTGGGAAGTTAATGACAAGTTTGGATGAGAAGGCTCAAGTTCACACTGTGTCATCTCTTGAAGGGGAAGATGTGTCAGATGATGCTGCTCCGCCATCTCAGCTATCTCCTGAGCTTAGAGATAGACTTATGGAGACTGTCCGTCTCCTCATGGAGGGTGTATTTGCAACCATCAGGTTTGTCCAAATTGAAGGTATTCTTGAGACTCCTCCAATAGTGAAGGTCTATGTAAATTTGACCTTAGTCATTCTTAATCTTTCCTTTGGTTTACTTATATCTTCTTCCGGTCTTGTACCAACAAATGTATGAAATATTGTCATACTTCCTGAAAATTTTCTCAAATTTAGTTTAATTTCTTCTAGAGGTGGGAAAGTGCTAGGGTCTTTCAAAATTTTACTGTGACTTTCGTACACACCAATTAATAACTTGCAAAGGTAAAAATATTTATTGATTTTATTGCCTTATGAGACCCCTGGACCAATGTATTGGACATTGGATGCTCTTTGTTGCAGCTCAGTCTCTGGGTTGCAACAAAGAGTGAAAATCTGCTGAGCATTGCTTTTAGGCCAAAAAACTCAAGGATGTAGAGCAGCTATCCAGGAATGTAGAAATCAATCATCTTATTCATAATAGGTGGTCTATCTTGCATGAGATGAATGCTTCACTGGGACCAACTAAATATGGGGAAGAATCATTGTGTGCCATGGACCTCCTCATGAGCATGGCATCAGGAAATCCTCATGGCCATGAGAAGCTGGCAGCATTCATCACAAGGCTCAATGCATTCTTGCCACATTCCCTCAAGACACACCTCAGCTATGAGGCAAAGGCACCAGGAGTGGAATTTCCACCAATTCTCACCTGGGTTTGTTGCAGATGAATAAGTAAGAAATAGTTTTGTCGTCTGTCTTTTGTAACATGCATTAATCTCTTTGTTTTAGATGGATAGCTTTGCTGGTGACTTGATCCCAAGTGAAAGCTATGTCTGTGCCTTATTGGCTGCCCATACTGCTGCCATGTCAAAACCAAGAGCAGGACTTCTAAGTTGTCTCCTCAGGCATATTCTCCATACCTTGATGCAGATTGCAGTGACCCTCTGTGTGTAAGTTGATCAATTGAAACAGCGAACACATTGTCCACCATGAGGTGCATAAATGCACTTCACTGATTAGGAAAGTCACCAGGTCACAATTGCTGTGATTGCCTATGTGTTAATGCTTCACTGATGTCAAACTGTCTCATTAAAGGTCCTTATAAGGCTAGGCATCTGTGATAATTATCAAATAGCATGGGCAAAGTAGTCAAGTTTATCCTTAATTTATTGTTTGATAATTCATTCATTCCAAATAATTTTCCTTTGACCCTCAGAGTAAGTACCTTCAATGATTGTTGTAGTTATGAAAATGTTGTTCCTTTTTTTCCCATCAGAAATTGTGAGCCTGAACAGCAGAGAAAGTTGCTGGAATCCCTCTTGCCCCTGACAATTTCCTGTGGCACTGAGTTTGCCAGTGATGTGATTCAAGTTCTCCTGGAAGAAAGGCTGGGAATATCTGTCCAAGACGATGAATGTGTTGAGATTTTGGCAGCTCTCATTGCCAGGAATTACTACCAAATGGTTGAAATAATCAAAGACAAGAAGAACATGTAAGTTCATGGTAACCTTTTTAGCTACTGTTGATGTGATTATATTGAAATGAAAATTACAAGCTTAAGTCCTCACAGCTAGAGTTAGTTCCATCAAGCCGGAACAGTATGGCATTGTAAGGCATGTTAGAAAGATACTTGAACTTATTGTGTTTTGATTCTTATGGTAAATTTATTGGTTCATCTTTCTTGATCCAGTGGAGGTAGTTTTATTTTGCAAATAGGTTTTTAAGTAAAAAAGCTTTTAAAATGAATGGCTGACATGCATTTAAAAGTATCCAAAATCCATCTTATAATTTTTTTCTCCCTGAATCCTATTGACTCCACTTCTTTCCTAACTTTGGCTATCAGCAGATGACCCACCCAGCTGCAGACAATAATGAACAAGGAACAGTGTCACTTTTAAAACTTTTCAGCCTGATTCTTGTCCTGTAAACATTTATATACTAGTTTATTTTGGAATAATGCTTGAAGCAAGCTGGAATGATTTTAGAGCCTTCAATAGTATGTTTTGATTTGCAAATATGCACTATGTCCTGATGTTTCATAAAATTGTATTCCTTAGACATGTGGGAGAAGGAGTCTTGCAACAATGTGTTGAATTCTTCACCCAGTTTCATCTAAAGACAAAGGCAGGGAGACAGGCACTCTACAAAGTGTTTGTAGATCCTGGTGGGTGTGACCTTGCCAATGTAATTTTATCAGCTGCTGCTGAGAGCTTGGCTCCAACCTACTCTACTCATGTCCTGAACTTTCTCCATGCCCTTCTTAAACAAGGTGAGCCTTCCCATGAATGTATATATGCTGTCATTGTTCCATTTTCATTATAAGTACTATGTTCACATTTAAAAATCACACATTTTGGCAACTGTTGAAATTTTTTTAGATTTGCTTGATGATGAAACATTAACTTCCCCTGGGGTAACAAAAAAATTGATGGAAGCAATGACAGTAAAACATGGCAATTTTGAGATCTCCTTTTTGAGAAGTGATACAATGGAAGTATTTTGAGATGTCAATAAACCTGCAGATTTATATAAATTCTGTATCCCACTTGGGAGATGTAAAATCCTTCTAGATTCCACAAAACAATTCAAGAAATATATATACAGGGTGACCCATTTCAAAAGTTTACTGATAAATGGCCATGTACAACACAAAGCAATAGATGGAATAAGTTGAAATTTAGCATGTATACTACTGGGAGCATGGGCTTCTCGAATCAGTGAATAAAAAGGTGGCAACACATGGCACTACTGGCACACAATTTGCGTGTCACATAATTTGCGTGTCACATGGTCTGGGAATGATACAAAAGGTCTGTGTGTGACCATGGAATGTAGAAAGACAACGTGTCAGCATTGGCTAGGAGAATCCAACTGAAACAGAAGTTTTATGAAGATAGGATGAATGTGCACGTTGTCCTGCCTGTTCCCTGATAATCATGAGGGAATGGAATTCGCACACGTGCTAAAGGAAAAGGAGAAGATATACTTGGGATCTCTGTTTATGCCATGGAGTTACCAACCATATCTTCTCATGACAGAACTACCAGTTCATGTTTTCATTGGGTTTTTGTGTGTCTTTCTCACAAATGTTGGAATTAAAAGCTATGATGATATGAAAGGTGATACAAATTTTATTTAGGGTCTAGAATTATGTGTATTGATGAACTGATTACAGTCGGCAGCTATTAAAGTATGCATTTGGCTTATCTCTTTATCTCTCTGAATCTTTAAATCACAATATATTTCTTGTATTAGTATATGTCTTTTAACTTCAGCACAGTTGAGGAAAGAGAACAACATAGAATGAGTTGCTCAAATATATTTAAGACTTGATTGTGTTTTTTATTATTTAAAAGATGGGGTGAATGTGGAAGCAGGGTCACACAATCAAAACCACAACATGTACTGAGGTCCATGCTCACGAATGACAATGAGAAAACTTAAAAGGAAATTTGTAATTTGTAAAGATTGGATCTGTGGCCAATAAGCCAATGAGAATCCCACCCAACTCCCTGCATTAAGTGAACCCCACATTTCCTATGCTTTTTGCTCATATGCTTAGAAGCCCATGTTGCCAGTAGTTTACCTGCCAAGTTTCAGCTTCTTCCACCCATTAGTTTGCATTGTACATAACCATTAATCTGTAAACGTTTGAAATGGGTCACCCTGTATGTATCATATATGATGGTGTTCCATGATGATGAGTGTAATTCAGAGATTGGTTTTTGTTTCCTCAGCTGAGTGTCATCCAAATGATGAAGTCTTTATTGGCCTTTGTGGATCTTTGTTGGGACTTGCAAGTGCAACAGAGGATGAAGTGCAGCGGATGATTTTGAGTCCAGGGTTGTCTGAGCTTTCATATTTTGAAGAATCACCTGCTTTTACAGAAAATCGAGACATTCTTCTTGGTGTTTGCAAGATGCTCATCAAAGAAGTGTGGTAAGATGTCTTTATGCTTGCTGCACCTGTTTTTGCTTGTTGATTGCTTATGTTGGACAAATCCCTTAAGATAGGTGAATACTGTAGGTTTGAGATGCTTTCACACTATAATTTCTTTCATGATGATCATGCATGCAAGTCTGGTTGAATTTCAGTGTTCAAAGTTTTGTTTTAGAAATTGAAGAGTAAAGGACTGAATATCCCATGTCAAGAGGTTTTCAAGACTGTGCAGCACACTCCATGAAGAAAGAATTTCCCTCTTACTTGTGATAATGGGGGCAAAAAATTTAGAAATTCTTTGTAATTTTTCAAAATGTAGAAATGTACATATTCATGTAATATATATATGTTTCATATCCATGGAAAGTTCTTTTAAATAACTTTTATATGACATCTTACTGCAGGTTATGAAGCAATTAGGGAGAAATATTGCCAATTTTATTTAGAGGAATAATTTCAGCCATTTGATTTTTTCAATCTGATTGCAGTATTTCTTGACCTTCAGAAAGTGAAGTTTCAGATTTGTGTTGTTCCCCACCATGCCTAAGAGCATACATTTTTTTTTAAAGAAAATAATAAATAGCTGAGCTAATAGTTTCTTGCTTTCTGGATATTTGAAATGAAATTACCCATATATTCAAGTATAGGACAAGTGTACCAAGTGGGAAATTTAAACATCCAGAATACTCAGCCATGACTTGTTGAAACTCTTGTCTTTTCTTTTTAGCCATGTGCCTCCTGAGGTTCCATCAGTGTTTCTACAAGTGTTAATCTCCATTACCAACCAGCATATGCTCTTCCTGAAGAAGGGAATGGACTTCACTGAGATAATGAACATCATGACTACATTAGCTTCCCTAGGAAATGGACAAGGGCATGTGCAGCTGTTGTGTGCCACCATTTCCTGGCTACACAAATGGTTTGTTCCAATTACTCAATCTAGAACCAAAATTATATTCTCAAATAGTAGAAGAATGCACTTCTATAGCTCTCCTGTAGCTGCTATCCAATGCATTTGATCTTCCTTTTTGAAGTATTGCATTTATAATGAACAAGATTGCAACTTAACCTCTGTATTCTTTGCTCGTTTGTGGTCATGAGACAGATTTAATACTAGGAGTTATTTTTATATTCAAAGAGGGCTATATTTCAACATTTTCCTTTTTTATATTGGACAAAACAATGATCCATAAGCTGTATTAATTGGCTGCAGTAAAGAAGGGAAGGGAGAGGTAAAATTCCCCCCTGATAACTTTTCTGTTCTATTCAAGAGTTTATAACCACTTTGAAATATCTCATTATTTCTTGTGGTGTTTTTAGCTGACAGGAGCAGGCTAGGTCAATTTAATAATGATGATATCCATTTGGTATCTTGGACTGTCCCCTTTTATGAAGACAGGTATTTTCATGTCATTCATGTCACAGCTATATATGAATATGCAAGAGTTCAATATCAATACATAGCACAATATTGATATGCTACTTGATAATGAGTTAGATATAGATGTGGGGGGAATTATTATCAAGGATGAAATAGTTTTGTATTTCTGTATTTACATTGCCTCAGTATTGTGCTTTTTAAATTGTTTATATGTCATGTAACTGTGGTCTGAATAATGGGGAGTCATTGTGCAATACTAAAGCACAAACACTAAAGCACAAACTCAGGAGAAGCTTAATCTTATTCTCCTGAAAATTATTCACGCCTGGATATTTTAGTAGCTAATTTTACTCAGGCTGTCACATTGGTATCTGATTGGAAAGAAAGTTCTCGGAATTTCTTGAATATCCAGTACAATTTTTTTCCAGAGCATACTAGAATGTTCTGCGTATGTTTATAAGTAGGTCGTGTCCTTCGGCATACAACCGTATATTATTACAGCCCTGGTGCTCTCCAGCCATGAACCAGCCCTACCCTCTTACTAAGGAGCAAGTTCGCCTGCTTCTTCTTTATGACTTCCAAATCAAGAAGAAGGCAGCCAATTCCATCGCTGACATCAATACCGCGTTTGGCCCGGACACTGTGTCCAAGAGCACTGCCTATGATTGGTACAGTCGCTTCCAGAAAGGAAATGAAAGCCTGGAAGACCAGCCACGCACCGGTCGTCCTTCGGAGTTTGATAACTCTGCCTTGCAGGAGGCACTGGAGGCCAACAACCGGCAAACATCGCGAGAGCTTGCGGACTTGCTGGGTGTCTCCCATACAACTATCCTTCATCATCTGGCTGAGCTTGGCAAGAAGGCAAAGTTGGGGTGCTGGGTACCCCACAAGCTGGATGATCGGGACCGCCAGCGACGAGTAGACATGGCCATCTCCCTTCTGTCACGTTCGCGCCGAACGGATTGGCTAGACTCAGTGGTGACAGGCGACGAAAAGTGGACCTTCTATGCCAACATTCGACGAAAACGTCAGTGGGTGGACGCCGGAGCATCGGCCGAAAGAGAACCCCGTCAGGAGTTGCACCCCAAAAAGATTATGCTCTCGGTCTTCTGGGATTCGAAAGGCATCATCATGTTTGAGCTGTTGCCGCAAAACACCACCATCACTGCTGCCTACTACTGCCAGCAACTCGATCGGCTGCAGCAGAAACTGGCTGAAACACGCCCAGAAAGACAGAGAACCATCCTCCTCCACGACGATGCCCGGCCGCACACCGCTAGACAGACTCATCTAAAGTTACTGGACCTGTGCTGGGAGGTGCTGCCGCATCCGCCCTACAGCCCCGACCTTGCCCCGTCCGATTATCACCTTTTCGTTGCCCTGGACCGTCACATGGGTGGAAAGCAGTACGCCAACCAAGACGACCTGAAAACCGATTTGGCCAACTTTTTCGTAGCGCAGCCGCCAGAGTTCTATTGGAATGGCATCCATAGTTTGCATAAACGTTGGCATGAAGTGATAGAGGCCAATGGTGATTACATTCATGATTGAGATGATTTTGCTTTTAAATAAACTGGGTTGTAATAATTGTTCATGAAATTCCGAGAACTTTCTTTCCAATCAGATAGTTCTAAAAACATTGACATATCAGCCTGAATTATTGATGGTACGTAGAAAAAATATATCATCTTTGGTAAACCATGAGGAGAATAGGTAGAATGGCCCCTTCTCAGGCCTATAGTAGACCCCTGCTTAATCTAAAATATTTTTTTCATCATGCTGTGGTTTCATGCTGGGAGAGGCCAGAGGCTGTAAACTTGTGGAGGTAGATAAGGGAGTAAGGAAAAGCTGACCTCTATAGTGGCTTCCATGGTCTTGTTGATATCTTTCTTTTTTTTTTCTCTCACTTGATTTTCGGACCCTAATGGGGTCCCATCATTGCTTATGCATATGAGGGTCAGTACGAAAGTAATGCCTGCAGATTTTTTTCTTAACCTTTCAAGCAAAAATAATGAAATTCGGCTGGAAAATAGATCAAGCCCTTTTATATATATGGCTATTTTTCCCTGTAGTTCCCATCGCGTTCAACAGACTCCTCCTAGTGCTCAAGAAGGGCAATTATTCAGCCCCTGTAAAACTCTGTAAAAATGGCGACCGCTGTGTGGCTTGTCTTTCAAGTCAGTTTCTCCACTCTTGACCCTGTTTGCCCACCCTCTCACTGTGCTCATATCAACAGTAGAGGTCCCATTAGCATTTTCCAGTCGCCTATGAATGTTTTCCCTCTGCAGTCAGTAATTTGATAACAATCTGCTTTGTACATGCATCAAGGGAAGCATCCATTTTGAACGGGTGCAGTGGTGTTTGCAACTGATACCTTTCCAGAAAACTGAGGCAGCAGCGATGGCAAATATAAATCTTTATATAGGAATTTTTTCATCATTCTCCCAAGCATGAGTCCGGAGAAAAAATTTAAGAGGCATTACTTTCATACTGACCCTTGTATTTCCCCATCTGCAAGTTTTTTTGTCCAGTACTTCACTTCTCAAAGTTCTGATGTGCTGGAATTCCTGGTAAAACCATTAATACATTGATGTCTCTTGACCTAAAATTTAATGAGAAAAAAGTGAAATTTATTTTCAGGTAAATAGGATATTTCTCTTCTACCCCTGTAACCCTTCCCAAACATAATACAAGCTCACATCTTTACTCTCTCTATTAAATCTGTCTGACCTCAGTCTCGGTATATGTGTTATTTCTCTATTCCAGTCAATTCAGCTTTTAATGCAATTCATGATCGTCTAATATCAACTCGGGTGCTCTTATAAGCTTGCAAAATAGCTGTGAATTGAACTTTTTTAAATTTTTAGCTGTTTTGTATCATTCTCTATTGTCCCTTTTCTTCCTATTCTCAGCCGTAATCATGTGGGTGATGAAAAAGTGTGCCAAAATGTTGAAGAGGAGGTTGAGAGAATGACTCCAGGACATGGAATTTATGATGATGAGAAGTCTGACATTCCCAACTGGAGTGGAGGTCCATGCAATGTTCTTGAAGCAGTTGGAGCTCTTTTCAACTACCTGGCAGATGTTGGAAGTGCTCTACGTGTTGCTTTGGGGAAAGATAGTAATCGTTGGGCTTTTCTTCGCAACTTCTCGCTCTCTGCACAAGGAGAGGTTGACCCTTCAGATTTGGTTGAAAGTGACTGGGGTGAAGATTTGCAAGATGAAGAAGATAGTGCTGGTGATGAATCTGTGAGGGTTTTGATCATTACTTCTGGATTCATTATTTTCTATAGTGTTGTAATTATATATATGTATCCCTGTAGGATGAAGACAGTCTGTCCAACAAACTTTGCACATACAGCATTACTCAGAAGGAGTTCATGAATCAGCATTGGTATCATTGTCTCACATGCAAGATGGTGGATTTAGCAGGAGTTTGCAGCATCTGTGCCCGTGTTTGTCATCGAGGTCACGAAATTACGTATGCCAAGTATGGCAGCTTCTTCTGTGATTGTGGAGCCAAGGAGGATGGCAGCTGTCAGGTAAGGATTCAAACAAAGCTGCCTACTCTTCATCTATACCAAATGTACAAGGTGTCCCTAAAGAAATATAGGGATTATTATTGTGCACAAAAAAAGCATAGCAGGATAAAGCTAAGATGCTCATGCTAATCCTGAATGTCAGGAGTTATATTTCATAGTTATAAAGAGATTTGAACTCATACATGATCTCAAAAAAATAATATCTTCCAAATATCTATCTCACAAGATGATGTTTGCATGCATGCACATGGATGACGTGCATGCTTCATTGCTGCCCCCTTTCCCATTGCAAGGTTTCTCAGGATAATAGGATTCAGTAGCATTCCTGATATTGTCTTTTAGTGTAGCAATTGTCCATTTTACTTGCATAAATGTGCTCTTCAACACTTTCTGGACAATGGACAGGCATAGTCCAGAAAGGAAATGACTTTTCAAAATTTGAGTGGAAAAATAGGATTTCAGATGAACCCTTGATCACTTACAATTGTTCGGGTGCTCTTGAATATTTCAAATGCTACCATGTTCTGGAAGTCACCCTTAATGGGGTTTATTTTACTCAATTTGATTTTAGAACTTTTCATTTGTTCCATTATTTCATTCAGACAGAGATATTTTACCTCTCACAACTGACAGCAGTAAAATTGCAGAAATAGGCAATTTCACATAATGTTCAAACTATGGGGAATATCCCAAAGCATTTGTTGTTGCCCAGCTTGTTGAGAAACTTTGCCAAATTCCACTATCAGGATATATGTCAAACATGAGAAATTTGCAAAATTAGTACAGATGAATCATGATAAACCCTGAGTTCTATCATCATTCCAATAGCATGTTAACCAAAATTATTTTTAAATTAAGGCATTGGTGAAGAGGAATCAGCCAGACAGCACTCTGCAAGGATCAGCTACCAATGCATGTGGAATACTACCAAGAAGCCAGGCTTCTGATGGCCAGGGGATTTCTGGCAGAGGCAGTGGGGCATCAGGAGGGCATGGTGGCTCATTCCATGGACAAATGGCTCCTGGTGGTTCATCACATTACAGTTCCACTGAAGCTCAATCTGAGAAAGGTCGAGAGGAGATCACAAAGCACAGGAATCATCTAGCCAAACTCTTAGGTAATTTTAAGTCATTTTAGCCCTGTGCTGGAAGTAATGAGTTTTTTCTAGGGATGTCGATTGATTAACACATTTAATCAATTAATTGATACATTTAATTGATTAATTGGTTAATTAATAAAATTTAAATCGATTCCTTAGTTCCTCCTTGAATCATGTCCTAGGCATTGGGCATTATTCTGCTTGTGTCATGTCCAACACCTAGGTGAGCCTCAGGAAGTGACTCAAGGCGATGCAGTCTCTTACATTGCAGTTACCATCTATACATACACTATTTCAACCTATGTGTGACAGATTCCAATTGGAGAGAAAATAATTAAAACATAGCCAGATGAATAATGAATTGTAAGCAAAGAAGTGCACTGAGGCCCATCGCCATTTAGCCAACTCATCCTGGAAGGATGCAAAACTGTAACCTAAATGATTGGAGACATACAGTGACACTTCATTGTGCAGAGATTTAAAGATTCATTATTGATTCATGGGCAACACCAGATGGAAGAGCAGAAAAAGCAAGGAATAAGATAGGGTTTCACACTTTCATTTCCCCAGGTCTGCTCCCAGCTTTCTCCCTCTCCTGGTTACTTCCCAGGGGCTCCCACAGACCTTCACTGGTGCTCTCACACATATACCTCTCACTCCCCAGTCTTTACATTATCCTCTTCCTGCCTCTCCTGTCCCATGTCCCTGTCAAAATCCCCTTTTTATGACTTTCTTTTCCCCTTTTGCATCCAGTGACTTTTTGGTTTCTCTAGGCTGCTGCTACCTTCACCTGACGTGCGAGGCCTGCAAGGCTATATGGGATGCATACCAGTACACTAGTGGATTTAAATGGGTCAGGAAGCTCTCTTTTGGAATAGTCTGGCGATAGCCTTGTGTGTGTTCCATTTTCCAAAAATAAGTCATTTTTGAGGAAAAGTGAGCAGTGCAAAAATGACTACCTTCTATAAGCCATCATTACATTTCATTCCCTTGATAAAGCATTAATTTTCACCTGTTTTGAAAAACTGTGAACTACACAGTAAAATTATAAGGGGAAAAAGAGGCATTCAGGGAAAGATTTGGGGGAGGGGGGGGGGATTAGATTAAAATTTGATTAATTTCAACTAATTTTTAAAATCACAATTAATACTTTAATCGATTAATCAGTTGATTATTGTAATCAAGTTGACACCCCTAATTTTTTCGCTTTCAAACTTTCTAAATCAGAAAAATGCTCTCTTATATCTCCTATATCCTGGTTTTCTTGATTCTTAATGCTTTAACAGTTAAATTTAAAAAAATTTACTTCCCTTTGCTGAGGGTTTTTTTAAATGCATTAATGCAGGATTAATGATAGGCCTACTTGCTTTATTAGCAAGTAGTAAGTAGAATATGTTCCTTTTGCTTTCCTTATAGAGGCTGATTCATATACCTGTTCCTTATGTCCCAGAAAAATCTCTGATATATATTTAAGCAATTGTAGACAACTCAGTGAGAAACTTCATGATTGAATTAACTCATTTGCTGCAGGTAAAGGGTCTTTACCTGCTTTGGTCTGTATTCTCCTGATCAGGGTTGGTGACGTGTAGTGTTTTAATTTGTTTCCAATAACCTCATCTCTTGAGCTGTTGATCATGGGTGATTCAGTAGCCACAAAATTATCAGACTTTCTGGTGATTAGGTGATCACATTGCATTCCAAATCAAATCTCGACATCATGCTGTAGCTTTAGATAATGGGCATGTGGCTCTCATTGCAACATAGTCAAGCAACATTGGTATTTGGTTCTTTGGTGACCATCAGTGGGCACTGTGACTTGAGTTTTGTTTTAGTTTGTCCTTTTTAAGCAAACATCATAAAACCAATTTTTAGTATGGTATTTCTCAATACCTGTGACATCTCAGTTTAGTGCTGGCTGGTTGACAAGGGATTTTTTTAGTATACTCAGGGAAAGTAATGCTTACTGAATTGATAAAGTTTTGTGCCTAAACTATTCCTCACTACTACTACTCAGCACAGAAGAGCAAAAAGCCAATTGAGCAATACTCATTTTCCATATTCTCTTCTTTTTTTTTTCTTTCCCTCTAGTTGAGGGCATTGAAATTATGGTTTATGGGCCAGATTTTGGTGAGATATAACTATTTTCAAAGTTATGCTATAGAAATCTCAACTTCATAGTTCTGATTAACATTGTCTCCATTAACCCTTTCACTGCTACATTCTTTTTCTTTACATGTCCCTGTGCTGAGTTTTTTGCTTCTTGTGCAACACTGTGGGGCCTGCTTATAAAAAAATATGTTCCCTCATTTACCTTATTATGTAAGCATGTAACTAGACTGGTTCAGATTGTCTTGAAAAATCTCAGGTAAGAAGCACAAGAAGATACACATTTCCATGGTTGAGTTATCTTGATAATAGCAATGAAAGGGTTTAGGTCATTAATGATAATTTGGTTGTTTGCCCTGGTCCTAGAATTTAGTTATAAATGAAGGTATAGATGAATGACTCATGGAAGAAAAAGTTATTGTTCATGCAGCCTGTGAGTTCCTTGAGTTTGTGTACACCTGCTTCTGCCTGAAAGAACCCAGCAACTTTTCATTGAAATGGGCATTAGATGATTTTGTATCTTAGTTTGAATTCTAAGCTGATCTTGGACCATTTTTATTTTCACACATGTAGACCAGCATAAGCATGCCTTGGCTACAAAGCTCCAAGAACAAGAACTGATGTGGTCTGTGGTCACAATACTACGTTCCCTCAATTCTGCTCTAATGCTGCATATCTTTCGAACCTCGGCCAGTGGGGCTCTCATACGCATCCAGCGTGCATTTCATGTTATGCATACGGCTGAGAAGACCTTGGTTCACACTGACTCCAATATGGTGAGCAGTTGAAGTGGTTATCGGAAAGTGGTTTGCTGCTTACCCATCCTTATGCAATTCCTTCCCCTACCTTTTTCAGTATTATTACTGCTCCATCATTCCCTCTACACTCTTTCAAAATTTCACTTTTGATTCCAGGTTTTAACATATGGGAATGCTAGCTTGATTTTATGCCTTTTTCAGATCCCAACGCTTGGCTCGCAAGAGGGTGCGTTTGAAAATGTCAGAATGAATTACTCTGGAGATCAAGGCCAAACTATTAGACAGTTAATCACTGCTCATGTAATCCGCCGAGTAGCCATGTGCTGTCTAGCCTCTCCTTCAGGAAAACGGCAACATCTTGGTGAGTCCTTTTTCCAAAGAAAAAATATTTTTCTTGGTCCAATCACAATTATGAGTGACCCTCATAAAAGTGTATAATGCATGTTATGTTCCAGTCTTGTTTCTCTCCCTGCATCTGCATAGCACTACTGTGTAGTGATAGTGTTGGATAGCCTTGAAAAGTGTAAGGTGATGGGAACATTTCTCAGGATTTTTTTTGCATTTTAAAACTGCATCTGTATAAAATTGGATCATAATCTGCATAGCCATCAAGGCATCCTAGATGAACATAATCATGATGTTGAACACTAGGATAATCACTCCTGAAAACGGAAAATTTCTGAATACTGTCCCTATTCACCCTATTAGGTGGGCAAATAGGTAGAGCAATTTTTTTTTACAATAGAAACTGCAGTTTTCAGTGGGGTGAATAAGGATAGATGAAATGGTTCTAAGGGTAATGATATTTGAAATCTTATTTTAGCAAAAGGTCAGAAGAATAGCTGGAAATTGCACCATTGAGAAATTATAGCATCTTTAAGTTGCATTTAAAACAATTCAATAAGGATTATTTTCCTTAATAAAGAAGGAAGAAAGAACTGTCCCACAACCACCTTGTACAATCACATATTATGGTAGAAGTCACTACCCAGGCCCATCCTTATTGTCCTGCCCTCAGCTTTAGTTATAAAAACACTCTTCAATATCAAAGAAAGAATTGGAAATTACGTGATTGAAACCAGACCACTCTACGTTGCAAAATGTAGAGTCGTCTGGTTTCAAGCTTGAACAGCTCGAGCAAAATACAGGAAAGCATGAAAGGAAATGTGCCTTCCTAAGGCATTTTGCATAAACTCTGGTTCAGGTTTGACATGTGTCTTTTTCCAGCAACTGCTGGGTTATATATTCTATGCATATTTTCACAGCCATTCCTCACCCCACCAGTACATCTAACATTGACAAAAGGCAAATTAGGGAAAGTTTAGAACTAAATATCTCAATTTTCAGCAGAGTCTTTCAGACTTCCTTTTTGAGTCTAGAAAGAAAAAGCTATCATCTGAGCCATGTAGTGTGAGATGCATATAGCTTATCATACATGAATAATCGAGGGAACAAAATGTAAAATGGGGAACAGAATGTATCCCATTTTTTAAATTCAAAATGTGGCTGTTCAGAATTCAAGCAGTTTGTCTCCTTTGCATGATATGGGATGGAATTCTATTAGCCTCATTTAGGAAGACATGAATGTTTCACAGGTTGTAGCTAGTATACTATATCATGAAAGGAAAGTGTGATATCAAGAATTGGTCTTTGATAATAAATAATGGAATGCCAAAAATGAGGAGTGATGTTTTCCTCTTTTTTTTTTTGCCTCATTGTCCCCTTTCACCCTTGGTCATGGTATGTGTGACTTGTTACTGTATTTCTGTGACAACATGTAGCACCAATAAACCTTGAGGATAAAATCCTGTACTTTATGTTGGTTCAAATGATCAAATTGTCTAATTTTTTCTTACAGTTTCACTGATTTTGCTTGTAATACCAATATTAAAAAGTGAGAAGGAACATGAAAATGACAGATTTGTCAACTGGCGTTTCTGTGAGAGTCCAATTGCCCAATCCTGTAACAACTCTTACTTGTAAGTAGTTGCATTTTTCCAGAGGTAAAAAAATTGCTGTGACTCATCCCAAAAAAAGTGCCTTCTCAAATTTATTAGTTCAGATTTACAAGTGCAATTATAGCAAATCAAATCCATAGGGTTTTTACACAATCTGATGCAACAGGAAGCTAATTTGGAATAACAGGCAAAGGAACTTGGCCGATATTGTATTAACCTGTTGCAATCCTCTGGTGGACATAGTCCAACAATCTCCGTAGTGTTGCAAATATAATGGACCAGAAAGGGTTAAAATTTGCAAGGTTATTGTGGACGGTTAGTTAACCCTTCGAGGAGTATGCCTCTATGTATAAATTTGCAAAATTTTATTAAATGTCTATTTCAGGTTTTGTGTAAATTAGTTTTGAGTTTGCTGAATTTTTTACCTTTTGTGCACTAAAATCACCCATTCTTTGCCACATTAGGACAAAAAAAACTTAAAATTGGTGTATTGTTGAGGGATCTCAATGAAATTTTTTTTTTATGTCCTAGAAGCACCAAGAAAATTCATTCCTTAAAGCAGAGGTTCTTAACCTTTTTTTGCACCTATGGACCCCCCCAGATCCTCAAGTATTACCCATGAACCCCCACCCCTAGTTATCAGAAACTTTGGAACACCTGGATTTGTGATTATAAATGATGTTTTTCGGGTGCTACCTTCAATTATATATTTAATTTTCCAAGGACCCTTCATGGACCCCAGGACCCCTTGCCTTAAAGGGTTAATAGAGCAAACTACTTATCATATTACTTATTTTTCTGGAAACATCAGTGAAAATACCCGTTTTCATCTTAACAGCTGTGGCCCATGAGAAGGGAAAGATCACCATTCTGCAGCTGAACCAGATGTTGCGGCAGGTGAATACAGCTCAGCGCAAGTTGACTTTGACTCGTCTAGCATCGGCCTCATTGCCCTTTTCCATTCTTACTCTTGCCAGCAATCCAGCCAATGAAGATGTTCTAGCAGTTTGTGGGCTCAAGGTCAGTAGAGGAGATATTAAAAGAATGCTGCAATTTTATCTGTTTTGGCTGGTTACATCTGTATTGCATAGCATATTGTAATATGATGCTGGAAACCCTAGGATTGTCATGTCTTGACCTTCACACTGAGTGGCAATGTTGGGGATCACCTGGTTCTTCACCCTCAACTGGATTCTGGGAATTTCATCATCAAATCTATGTGGCTACCTGGATCCAAGTCCTGCCTGGCTGTCATTACAGCTGATTTTGTCAAAATTTATGATCTTGCTGCTGACACCTTGTCTCCAATCTTCTATTATCTGCTTCCTTCTGGCAAAATCCGAGACTGCTGCTTCGTGTTCCTAGAGGTTCATTCATAATGCTGAATTTTTTTAATCTTTCAGGAATGTCTCAGTGCATTAACAGGTTTATCAATACCTGGCATTTAGGGGTGGAAGACTGATGCTGTTTGTCATATGTTCCTGATGACATCATCTGGCCATATATATATGCAACCACTTTGTGAGGAGAGTGGGGCTGTGCATGGCCCTTTCTATGTGACCAATACGTTGGAAGTTCATCATCCTGAATTGAAGGTATGATTGCTGTTTGTTAATCCTCATTTCCATTAGTTGCTGAGGAAGATACTAAATTGTTTGATACATTCCAGCAGGATAGTGGGGGGACCATAGCAGGAGGAGGAGTTTCCATCTATTACTCACATTCCATGCAACTGCTATTCTTCAGCTATGCTCAGGGAAAAAACTTTATTGCTCCCTTAGTGACACTCTCACAGCCATTAAGGACAGTGTTCCCTGTTAGTGTCTCATCATCTCCCAATGGTGGAAAAGGCAATCCTCAAGCATTATGTCAATGGTCTGAGGTAATGGGACATCCAGGCCTCTTTACTTGCCTCACACAAAACAGTAAGGATTTCTGTATCAAGTAGGGAATGCAATAAGATTTGTCCAGTTGAGCTTATAATTTTCCTTTGATTTAATATAGGTAACAACCCAGCTGTGTTGCTTGTGAAACCAAAGACAATCCAGGTACAAGAACTGCGCTTCACCCCCTCAAAGCCAAAGTTCCTAGATATGGTTGCTCTTCGACATATTGCAAATGGGCAAGGAGAGATGAGGACGACTCTGATACTTCTGTGTGAAGACGGTAGCTTGAAGATATATGCAGGATACGATGAGAGCACCAGTCAGTTCCTTCTGTTCATTTATACTTGTGTGGTAAATTCACTTTATTCACTTCTTTCATTATCTTTTCTAGATTTTTGGTTCAACCCATTTAATCCCAGCAATAATCCCATGCCTACTGTGAGTGGATTGACTCGACACAGCCGCAAGAAGAAGGTCCCGAAAAACAACCGGCCTTCAGGTGAGTAACAAGCAGATTCTACTTCCTGTCTGCAAGAGCCTTTGTAACTATTTTGCCTGTTTACCAGTCTGTGAGGCCTTCAATAAATATAAAAACTTCAATGGGTGAGCAGGAGCATTAACTAGATACTTTTCTCTGGTACCTGCCAGTGATTGAAATGATCTGAGAGTTTATCACTATTCATTTTCCCAGAGCTCTCTTAGTGTTTATGCTTCAACAATTGAAAATTTTATATTATTCTTCTTCAATTTGTCAAAAAGTGTATGTCAATTCTTCCAGGGAGTGTCTCTTTCCCAGTGGACTTCTTTGAGCATTGTATACCCATGCCAGATGTGGAATTTGGTGGTAGTGATGTCCTTCAGATTTACAATGCCCCGCAGCTCAAGAATCGACTGAATACATCAGGTAAGCTTTTTTTGTACCTTTTATCCTGTGAAAGCTCAATTTCTTTGATCATTTTGTTGTTTTTTTCTCCAGGGATGTATATTGCAAGCATGAAGTCAGCTGGATTCAGCATGGATGTGGTGAATCCAGACAGTAACCTAGTCATGACTGGAGTCAGAGTCTATGTGGGTGGGTGTCAGGATGCACAACGTATTCCATCTTACATGGAGGTAAGACTGTGATGCTGTTTCTTAGGACTTTGTAGAAAGCTCAGCAGATGGACATTTCACTTTTTCTTTTGCCTCTGAGTCTCCTCTGAGTCTATCATCTCTTCTTATATTGTCGCATTTCAGGGCAACTTGCTATTTGGGCATGATGCCCTTCAAAGGCACTGCTGCAACTAGTCTCAATATGAGCTTATGACTTCTTGTACTCCTTATGCTATTCAAATAAATATGTTTATGTTTAGAGGTCTTTAGCTTGTAAGGTACTTAGTTACGATAGGGATTTTTTGACTGCATGGAAGGACTGATGGTGACACAAACTGCTGGAAACTTCTGAAAAGACAGCTTTCACTGCCAAGTTCTTGTTATCCAGATCTTCCAGAGTGATTTATACTACCTGAATGCTGTTTTTCCTTTGCAACAAACAATTTTCTTTAAATATACCAGCTTGCTCAAGATCTTATAGACATATCCCATGCTTTTGCATTATGGTGTATCTATGTGGCTCATTGACTAGCAATGAAAAGTATCAATGCTGAAGTGTAGTGTGGTATTTAGAAATATTAGGATTCTCTATTGTAGAGGTTGAGCCATGAGAGATAGCAGTGATAAACTTTTTTGCCTGTAATTTATTTTTCAGAATGGGTCTAAGTTGACTGCATTTTTTTAAGGAAATTTTCACTTCTAAAGTTTTATTTTACTTGATAGGTTGAGAGTTGTGTGATTGATTGTGTTAGCAAAATGAAGAAAACTGATGACTAGGAAAATTTTTCCTACTAGTTTCAGTTTTCAGTGCTTTGGATGAATGCTGGCTTTCACAACAGTCACAAAGTTGTGGGGTAGTTATGGAAGAAGAATCAAGAGTACCACACTCAATTCATTCAGAACCTCTAGGGGAGGAAGGGGGAGAGGAATGGAAGGAGAACTTAAGTCACTTTGGAATCAAGAATTGTATTAGAACCCTATATGTATTAAGGGTTTCACATACCTTTAATGCGAACCATCTACATAGAAAACATTTATGTGCTTGCTTTTACTTATTCTAGGTATTTGGAAGGAGTATCACTATGAACACAACTGTGCCTCGCTGGTATGACTTCCCCCTGACAAGAGAAGAGAGTCTCCAAGCTGACAAGAAGCTAGTTATTACCTTTGGACCTTCCAGTGATCCACAGGGTGTCACTGTGGTAGATAATGTCAAGGTAGGTAGGAAGTGTTACATTTCTTTGAGAGGTGTCATGCTCCCTTGCCTGGTTTTTGCTGAGGTTGTATTTTCTCAACAGCAGTTGTATGCCTATCATAACTTTGAAATAATGGCACTGAAACCACATGTATTATGCCCAATCTCTTTGAATGAAAGGGCATTATCTAAAATCTTCACCTCACCACAGCAGAATCAAATCTCAAGAACTATGAAAAAGAATCCAGATAAAAGCTTGAAAGTACATTACCCATGCTTGTATTCTGAAACTGCAAACAGTTGAATTTATTTTAGCAGTTGTCAGAGGCTGGCTAAATAATGCAGCACTGCATGTGTTACATAGATGCTTTCCCTGCATGATTTTAATATAAAAGAGTCTCCATGCAACAAGAGCAAATCTTGCATACTCATGGAAAAAACTTGCTTAGAACACTGCAAATATTAGGTTGTTGCAAAAGTCCTGTCGGTATTGACAACTTTATTTTCTCAACTTTAGAGCTTTGCAACAAGCGAGGCCTAATCGACCACATATTCGCCATAGTTGCAGATGACCTTCGTCCATCTTCTGGGCAGGTCATGGATGCCTTCTCTGTAGAAGGACTTGGGCTTCGAGGCGAAGAAGTCTGCGAGGCCGGTTTCCATGGCCTGT